GAATACAAATTAAGTCCACAAGAGTACTAAGCAATGAACTTAAACTATAATCAAGAAGATAATGACAGTATAGCAGGTAAACTAAACTCTCAGGCATTGCTAGTGGTATTGTAAAATATAGCTATTTTGAAAAATGGTTTGTGCATTTCTTACAGAGTGTCATGTAGATTTATCAGATAGCTGAGAAATTCCAGTCCTATATATCTACAGAAGAGAAAATAAAACAAATGTGCACACAGACTTGTAAGCAAATCTCCTTAGCAACATCATTCAGAATAGCCAAGAAGTGGGAACCAACCAAATGACCTTCAGTGGTGAACAGACTAATTGTGGTAGGTAGGTCCATACAACAGAATGTTGTTCAACACAAAAAGTAGCAAACTGTTGATACAAAGAACTTCACAACTGTTCTGGCAAGTGAGAGAAAGTAGATGCCGTAGGCTTGATGTTGCATAATCCCACTTACATAAAACCCCAAACACAAGGCAACTTAGTGACCATTCCAGCTTAGTCTTCAGAACGGGAATTGACCACGAATGGATTCAAAGGATCTTTTTAAAGTAATGGAAATTCTAAAACGGGCTTGTGGTAACGGTGTATAAATATGTGAATTTCCTAAAAACTATTTGACTTGTGCATCGATGTAGTGTGTGAACTACGCTCTTGTGAAGCTGCTTTTAAAAGGTAATACCTGCTGTACTTGCCAGAAAGCATATATCAGGAATGGGAAAATACCATCTGCTTTATTATCAGTGAAGAATTCAGTATCAACAGTGATTCAGCAGTGGTTTATAAGCCTCCATGTGCTGTTTTTCCCAATTATCTTTCCAACGAGATCATTTCCTGGAATTTTCAGAGGGTATGAAGAGAACAAATGAAAATACTGAATGTGAATGAATGCCTTACAAACTTGATTAAATATTTAAACATTTAAGCCTATGTCCTAAAAAATAATAAATGAAAATATTGTTAGATATTTTTATTATTGACATGCTAAACATAAAAAAGAAAACACCATCCCCTAAAGAATTCTCCAAAAATATATCGGAATCATAGGGTGTGTTGTTGTTTTTCTTCTTCCACAGATTGGGACAGAGGGATGTGGAAAAGACAGTTGCACAACCTTGGCCTGTTACTTAACAGAACACAAACTGTATCGAGTGCCTGAGTCTCCCAGCTCTGGGTACACAGAGTTCAGAGAAGTCGTTAAAAAGGCTTTTATTCAAGCAGGTCTAGAAGGGAACCCCACTGTGGTGGTGGTGCCTAACTTACACCTAGATCAAGTAAGGCCTTTTTTTTATTATTATTATCTCTTACATTTTCATTTACATAGCCCTTTGCTGAGAAGTTTAATAATTAATGGAAAATAAGAAAATGATGTCTGTAGTTCTACCAACCCGTCTTATCCAACTTCATCCAGTCATAACCCACAAATTGTAGATGCTTTGAATAAACATGACTTGAAAATAGCTCCTGTGTCTTCATCATGCAAATATTAACTGAAGACTGGAGGTGGTTGCAATACCTGAGTTCTGTCAGCGTATTCAAAGCAATGATGTGTGCCCCACCATGTGTGACCTGCACACTTGTCATCTGTAGTTACTCTGGCTCTTTGTCTTTCTTCTGCTCACTTGACAATAGGTTTAGGACTTTCCTTGAGAGATACATTTTTGGGCCTGGTGTGGTAACCTAGGAGCTAAAGTCCTCACCTTGAACATACTGGGATCCTATATAGGCATCTGTTCTTATCCTGGCAGCTCCACTTCCCATCCAGCTCCCTGCTTGCGGCCTGGGAAAGCAGTTGAGGACGGCCCAAAGCCTTGGGACCCTGCACCTGCGTGGGAGACCTGGAGGAAGTTTCTAGCTCCTGGCTTCGGATCAGGGCAACACTGGTCATTGCAGTCACTTAGGGAGTGAATCATTGGACAGAAGATTTTCCTCTCTGTCTCTTCTCCTCTCTATATATCTGACTTTGCAATAAAAATAAATAAATATTTTTTTTTTAAAAAGATACATTTCCTTACCTGCTGGAAAAAAAAAAAAGTGTTCATCCCACCTCCTTTTTTTTAGCCCTGTTACTTTGCTCCAGATATGGCCAGTCACAGCCAAAAAGAAAAAAAAAATCACTTGGAATGCCATCTGGATGGCACTTACTCCTTTGTGGCAATGTTTCCTAGAAATATCATTTGTTATTTATGACCCAGATATACATGTAGATTTAATTGCTGCTTCAAGCCTCTAATGCTATGCCTACCCCATACTGCTTTATTTTTTTTTTTCTTTCAGGTTATTTTTGATTGGTAAACCCAAGTGTTGTGACACATTTATATTCAGGGAAGCTTGGGTTTATTCTGAAAAGCAAAATGTTTTGGCTTTTATAATAACCCTCCCAGTAGACCTTCCCCCAGCCCTGATCTGTTACCTTCCCCGTTGTCCTGGGAGCCCTAGAGCAGCTGTGTTTTTCCTAGCTTGTCTGCTATTCAAACACAAGTGTAGGCTGCCTGAAGCAGGGGTCCCATCCAGTGTGTTATGTGCCCACTGTTTCAAAACTCCTGCTCCAACACAGGTGTTTGGCATAGCGTCAATACCAGGCTTATTTTTTTTTTTTTAATGTTTGAGTGAATGAATAGCTGAATAAAGCCTTTTTAACTTAAAAAAAAAGTTTTGATGGCTTTAAATTAAGAGTTTAGCTTGTTTTTTAAAAAGCCTTATTTTCATTTCGGTACTATGACTTTCTCAAGATGATGTGTGCAGAGTAGAATATATGAATAATTTGTTTATTTCTAACCATGTTTTTCTCCAAAGCCATTCATTTTGGAAGATTTGAATTGCCTTGTCAACTCAAGGAAAATGCCTGACTTGTTTGAAAATGAGGAGTTGGACAACATCATAATCAGAATCAGAACATTGGTTAAAGATCCTGGCTATGTGGATGATAGACAGTCTTTACTTGCGTTATTCCAAAAGGTACTTATCACTTTGTATTAAAATGAAGCTATATTAATAACTATACATTGTTTTCAATTTTGATAAAACTTCCTTAGTTTCTTTAATGCAAGTTTAGAATAATGCCCACCCACCCACCCCACACATACCATACCCCTGGGCCAACCCAACATGAACATGGTTCTGAGTCTATCATTGACTTTTGAAAGAAATAGTAACTGGAGACAACAAATGAAAGGTGAAATGACCACTGAGATTTCTTCCTGGCTAATGAAGGGTTTGGGGCTGTATTAGTTTAAAAAAAAATTTTTTTAAAGATTTTTTATTTTTATTGGAAAGGCGGATATACAGAGAGGAGAGACAGAGAGGAAGATCTTCCGTCCGATGATTCACTCCCCAAGTGAGCGCAACGGCCGTTGCTATGCCGGTCTGAAACCAGGAGCCTCTTCTGGGTCTCCCACATTGGTGCAGGGTCCCAAAGCTTTGGGCTGTCCTCGACTGCTTTCCCGGGCCACAGGCAGGGAGCTGGATGGGAAGCGGGGCTGCCGGGATTAGAACCGGCGGCCATATGGGATCCCGGGCGTGCAAGGAGAAGAACTTAATCACTGCGCCATTTGGGCAGGAACTTAATTTTCTTGAGGCCAGCAAGTGTTAAGTGGAAATCTCAAGATAACCGTTTAAAGTGATGGGTTGCATTTTAACAACTTATATTGGCATTCATTTTCAGAAAGTATATGTGAACCTGCATGTTTTTGTGGTCATGAGCCCTTCAGGACCCAGTTTCCGCCAGTACTGTAGAGCGTATCCGTCTGTGGTTAGCTCCTGCACAATTGATTGGTACGAAAAGTGGCCAAAAGAAGCTCTCCTTATTGTAGCCAACTCTTTCTTAAGAGACAAAGTGAATTTAGAGAATGAAGAGGTAAATATTTACTGCAAATAAAGGTTTTAGTTTATTTACAGCATCTGACAGTATTTTTAAATACGTTTTTTATTTGTGATTGACATATAGTGATTGAACTTATTTCAGTACATTTCAATACATGTATATGATGTGGAATGACCAAATTAGGATAATTCTTATGGCTAACATCTCCAACATAGATCATTTCTTTTGTTGGGGATGTTATAAAATCCTCTGTTACTCACTATTTTGAAATATTTAACTGTCAGCCATACATCCTACTGTGCTCTACAACCTTAGAAGTTAGTCCTCAATACAGCTGCACCACCATCACCTTTCACCAGGCTCCCCTGCATCCCTTTCTTTCCCATAGGCTTCCAAATTTCCAGTAAAGACTTGTCAATTCTCTGCTTCCTTGAGAGCAACTTTTAATCTTCCATGTAGCACTGACCTGCCTGAGTCTACTGTTTTACCTAACATCATGTCCTCAAGTCCCATCCATGTTGCTGAAAATGACAGAATTTCCTTCTTTTTTATGATGGCAAAACATTCCTTTCTGTATCCCACATTTTCTTTGACTAGTCATCCATTGATGATTACTCAAGCTGATTCCGTATCTTGGTTATTATGAATAATGATGCAACAAATATAAACTAGACATATAAGGAATATACCTCAGTTCAATAATGGCTATATATGTATGACAAGTTTACAGTCTGCAACAACATGGAGTTAATAACATGCTACTGAATAAACCAATGTATCACTGAAGAAATGAAAAAGAAAATCAAAGACCTTCCTGAAATAAACAGTGTGTGAGCTATGAGTCAATGAAGAAATTAATAAGAAAAACAAAAAAAACTTTTGAATGAATGAAACACAAAAATGTCAAAAGCTATGAAATGTAGCAAAAACAGTATTGAAAGGTCTATTGATCTTGTATTTTGCATGAAGATTGCTTTATATCAGAGAGAACATATATTTGTCCTTAGGGGATTGACTTGTTTCACTAAGCATAATGGTCTCTACTTGAGACCATTTGGTTGCAAATGGTAGAATTTCAGTCTTTTAAATGGCTGAGTAGTATTCCATGGAGTGGATGTACCACAGTTTTTTTTTTTTTTTTTTTTTGCACACTCCTCTTTTGACAGGCATCTGGGCTGTTCCATGTCTTTGGTATTGTAGATTGTGCTGCTGTAAATGTAGGATTACAGATCCATTTTTCATATGAAGATTTCATTTGCTTTGGATATGTTCTCAGAAGTGGGACAGCTGGGTCATACAGCAGGTCAATTGTTAGTTCTCTTAGCACTCTACATATTGACCTCCATAGTGGCTGCACTAGCCTACACTCCCACCAACAGTGAAGGAGGGTACCTTTCTCTCCATATCCACACCAACAGGTGTTGTTAGTAGAGTTCTGGATATAGGCCAACCTCACTGGAGTCAGATGAAATCTCAGATGCCTGAGCATGTTTTCATATGCCTATTAGCCATTTCAATTTTTCTTCTGAAAAATGCAGTCTTTTTCTTTTTAAGATTTATTTATTCATTGGAAAGTCCGATATACAGAGAGGAGAGACAGAGAGGAAGATCTTCTGTCCGATGATTCACTCCCCAAGTGAGCGCAACGGTCGATGCTATGCCAATCCGAAGCCAGGATCCAGGAGCCTCTTTTAGGTCTCCCATGCAGGTGCAGGGTCCCAAGGCCCTGGGCCATCCTCGACTGCTTTCCCAGGCCACAAACAGGGAGCTGGATGGAAAGTGGAGCTGCCAGGATTAGAACCGGCGCCCATATGGGATCCCAGGGCGTTCAAGGCGAGAACCTTAGCTGCTAGGCCATGCCGTCTGGCCCAGTTTTTTCTTAATGTGATAGTATTTGGTTGTTCATAATATTGCCTAAGGAGCCTTTGTAATTGTGTGACATCCATTGTTGTGTCTGCTTTTTCATATTCAGTTTTTTGTATTTGGGTCTCCTTTTTTCTTAGCCTATTTATGTGTATTGATTTGGTTCATCTTCTCACAAAAACTAGCCCTTTGTGTCGTTCATTCCTTGCATGTTTTTAAGTCTCCATGTTGCTCATTTCTGCTCTGATTGCTACTTTTTCCTTCTGACTAATCTTGCATTTGATTTGCTCCTGCTTTTCGTGTCCTAGAGTTGCACTGTTGGGCTGCTATTCTACACATCAGTATTGCTTTTGCTGTATCCTGTCTGATCTTACCTTGCTGAATGGCAGTGAAGTCTGTGTGAGCAAAAAACAGGCAGCCCAAAGCCAAATTAGGAAATGGGTCAAGGGTTTGCCTTGACCCCTTATCTGTTCCCCATGTTGTTTGCCCTCTGATTTGCCCTGTGTCCAAAAAGCACAGCCTCTGCACCACCTGACCTTCACTGTCCTGCCTGTGTTGTGATCAGCACATTTCCATGTAAGAAAATGGCCTGCATCTCCGTAGCCTCTTCTGTGGCGATCATCCATGTGACCAGATTGCTCTGGCTACAACAGTAAAACTGTAATGAAATGAGAGCAGAAGCAACAACATGAAAGTAGTTCAGAAATTTTGAGCCCAAAGCAAGGAAGAATGTGTTCTGGAGTGATTAAACTGAAGATCGCACAAGACCCAGGTGACAGAACAGTGGCAAGGAGGACTCAAATGTAAATACAGAGAGAACCGAAACTCCGTGTGTGGGACCCAGAAAGGAGTTCATCTGCTGACTTCTCCAAATGTTCAAGGGCAACAGAGATGAGTTGGTAGCAAAACAAAAGGCAGTTGGTTAAAAGTGACCAACAATTGAATGTCCTAGGTAGACTGGAGATGCATCATCATGACTGGTTTATGACGAAGTGAGAGTCTCGCCCAGTCTAAGCAAGGGAAGCACTGGTGTTGCCCATGCACGTATCATCTGGGCATTTACAGATGTCACAGTTTCCTTTCAGTCAAAGACATTTTCTTGAGTATCTTGATCTTGGGAACCACTTTAAGAAAGGAAAATGAGAGGTTTGTTTTTTGTTTGTTTGTTTGTTTAAAGCACCATACGTTTTAACTGTTGGTGCCCTGCATCCTTGGATGGCATATATACATATATATACCTGTGAGAGCTGAACCTGACATCCCATCAGTCATGAGAGGATTCATCGCCTCTTGCGCCTTACCGCTATCCCAGTCGTTAACACACCCACCCTTCCTCTACACCCTTCTCCAACTCCACATCTCATAAATGACAAACTATTTCAAGCTAGTCCTAGTGTTCAGCTTTCTCCTCTTATAGTGCATTTCAATAAATTTGTCTTAATTCCTAATAATAATAATAACATCCTTCAGGACTTGAGAGAGAGTCTTGCCCTGACGTGCGTCCAAATCCACATGAGTATGGAAGACTTGAGCACAAGATACTTTGAAGACACAGGAAGGCATTATTTTATCACTCGAAGTAGCTTCTTGAAACTCCTGGGGACATTTGCACACATTGTGCGGTCACGAGAGGACACGATGCAAACCAAAAGGTAAGACCTGGAGGCCCAATCCCGAGCAGGTGCTTTATATCAGTGCTCGTGTGGGGGTGGGAGGGGGGACACAAGCATTAAAAAAATCTGCCCAAACCTGCCTTTCAGTGATAGACAAAATCCATCATTACAAAAAATCTTAGAGATAAAGTAGATATTTCCTTTGTACTTGTTCCAAGGCTGCCTGCATCAAGACAGGGCTGGCAGATTTGGCAGAAAAACTAAACACCCTTAGTAGATTCAGACAGTTTATTACAAAGAAATCAAAAGTTTCCATGACCTTTGTCCCCTGGGATGATACCCAAGTAAAAGGGGTGAGAGGCCTGAAGCACAGACAGGGGACACCCACTGTTGAGGGCTGCAAGACGTGCTGCAGGCAAGCAGTAATCCCGGGGACAACAAGAAACACTGCCAGTTGTGTACATGCCCTACCTCAACTGGCCAGCGACAAGCTGGGGCAATGAGATTTTCCATTGCCAACAATGATGCTTAAGAATTTAGACTAGTTTGAGTATGACACGCCTGACATGTATGTAAGAAATAGCAGCAAGGCCCAGCACAGTGGCTCAGTGGCTGGATCCTTGTCTTCCGTGTACCGGAATGCCATATGGGTACCAGTTTGTGTCCTGGCTATTCAACTTCCCAACCAGCTCCTTGTTTGTGGCCTGGGAAAGCAGTGGCAGATATCCCAAAGCCTTGGGACCCTGCACCCACCTGGGAGACCCAGAAGTGACTCCAAGTTCCTGACTTCAGACCAGCTCAGCTACCTGGGGAGTGAACCAGCGGACTTGGAAGATCTTTCTCTCTATCCTCCTGCCTGTAGATCTGCCTTTCCAAGAAAAAACAACAACAACAAAAACTAGTAGCAACCCCAGAAGCAGCATTTTGCTGGTGTTAGGTCAGGGTCTAATTTGAACTAAGTTTTTGTTAAAAAGGCCAGATGTAGGATGACTGGTTCAATATCTGCATAATTCATAATTTAGAGTAGTTGAGCTAGTCTAAATATGATGAGGCTGGTATAGGGGGAATCATACCAATGTTTGGAAAGTTAGTCTTGTCATGTTGTTTTAAGTAGTGATCAGGGAAATTACTGAGGGTCCTGAAATTAAGATGGCTGTTGATCATCAGTTGAACTGAGGGTGGCTGTCTGGATGCCCAACAAGCGAATGTTAGGAGGGATTCATGAATTCTTCTCCCACTAGAATGGAAGGTGTCCAACCCTCTACCACTCGGACTTGTTGCTATCCAATCATAGCCATGTGGTCAGTGTGACCAGTGCCCGTCACACTCACTGCACCCTTTCTGTGTTCCCCATCCTGTCTGACCCACACTCAGACACAGCCCTTAGCAGTTTCTCTCTTACAGATCCTCACTTGTATATTCTCACTTACCTATCCTCTACTGTCCTAGAAGGACCACCTTAAGTCTATAAACTAATACATGTGACCGTTAGCATTGGTTTCCATAGATAGCAAGTTATGCTTGGTGATGAAATGACCAGACTGCAGTTTCCTAGTGCCCAGCTCTTCTTTGCCCCTCAAAAATTCCAGCAGCCCAGTTTCCCAGGAGAAATAATAGGGAGGCTTAATTATGTGGTTTGGACCTCCGAGAGCCAATCTACTCTGAAACTCATAATTAACTTATTCCATTGAAAGCCCAAGATTGCTTGTGCTAAGCGTATGCCCTTTGCGGAACCTCACGCTTTCTCATTTCTTCCATAAGACTCCATTTATTTTTAATGGCACCTGTTCTTTACCAAATAGAGGAAATCCCCCCGACCCTGCTGTTCTTAGTTTTAAAGAAATCTCTTTTTATCATAAATTTTTTCAGATGTTTTTTCTACACCAATTAAAACAAGCTTGAGATCTTTCTTCTTTACACTGTTAATATGGTGGACGAATCTGATTGGCTTCCAAATATCAAGCCAGTGCTGCATCCCGGGAATAAACCCCATTTGATCATGATATATAATTTTTTTCATCTATGATCAAATTATATTTTCTGCCATTTGCTATATTTTTTAAATTTTTAGATTTATTTTTATTTGAAAGGCAGATTTACAGAGAGAAGGAACAAGAACCTGATGAACTGGTCCAATGATCTTAAATCCACAGGTTCACTCCCCAGTTGGCTGCAACAGCCAGAGCTGAGCTAATGCAAAGCCAGGAGCCAGTTACTTCTTCTGAGTCTCCCATGTGGGTCCAGGGGTCCAGGGACTTATGCCATCCCCAACAGCTTTCCCAGGCCACAAGCAGGCTAGATGAGAAGTAGAGCAGCTAGAATGTGACCTGAAGCCCATATGAGATGCAGGCACTACAGGTGGAGAACTCACAGACTATGCCACCATGCTGGCCTCGACTTTGCTATATTTTACACCTCCTGAAATGATAGGAGCAGCCCTGATCTGAAAATCTAAACCCTCAGAATCTTTTGAGGTTCAGAAAGTTTCAGATTTGGGGACACTTTGAATTAGGGCTGCTCAGCTGGTAAGGTGATGGTACTCAAAATTTGAAAGACTGAAATCTGAGACACTTCTAGGCTCAGGTATCTTAGAGAAGGGATACACTCCAACTGTCCTTTTTATTTCCTCCAGGAGTCGTTTCTTTATGGGTCTGTCCAAGATCCTGGAAGCAAGCACAGTGGTTATAGACATGCAGAATAAACTGGCAATCCTTGGCCCTCAGATAGAACAGAAAACGAAGGTAGGCTGGGTCTGAAAACCCTGTGAAGGGAACAGGCTCTGAAGGCAAAGGCAGTGTGCAATCCCTGCTTCCTTATGCTTTAGCTCTGTAACTGGAAGAAATTATTTAGTCATCTCTACCTCAATTCTCTCATTTATAAAATGAGAGAAAACAACAACAAAATAGGGTGACAGTTATATTTAATAAAATGTATTGATTGGTTGAAAACTAACCATTGAAGCTTTGGTAAAGCATCCCTAAGTGTCTTTAAATCTATCTGGAAGGTTCTGTGATAATTTGTAATTGGTCACATGTTTGAAAAATTATCACCCATGGCTATTCTTTCATACATTGTATGAAATGATGTTTATGGGCCTGGTCCTACGTATATTTCAGGAAACTATATTTCAGGCTTGTTTGAATGAGTTTTATATCAGTGAAATGTGCTGTTGAAATTTTTCATTTCCAAAGAGGTCCTAACCTCTTAAAGCTCATTGTAAGACTTGTTCTATTCATTAGGAAAGAGAAATCCTAAAGGAAAAAATAAGGAAAGATTCACAAATCGTTGAGAAAGTTCAGATACTTGTCAAACGGGATGAAGAAATTATGGCGGAAGAAGTAAGAATTGTGGAAGAGTATGCTCAGGTAAAACTAAAAGCCCATTCATTATAAAAATCACTCAGATTTGCAAACCTACATCGCATAAACGCCTGCCCATACTTTAAAAGCTAACTTACTTGAAACCATCTCATGGAACCTCCAGACCCAGGCACAGGACCTTCTGATGTGCTGAGTTTAAGGGGGTACCCCCATACACCCCTCCCAGACATGGAGGCTCCCCTCCTTCCTCCTGGGACCACTGATGCCCACAGACCCTGCTGTGTCAGCCACCTGCAGGCAACACTCCTGGGCAATATGTCATCAGTGCAGCTTCATTTCAGTGTTTCATTAGGCTGAGCTTCTTACAATGTTGAGATTATTATTTTCACAAAATACAAAGTAACTAGTATATTATTTTATGTGAACAGGAATATTAACTAGAATAAGCAATCACAGCAGAACACAATTTTAAAAGTTAACAGTTTTTGGGCCCGGCGCGGTGGCGCAAGGGTTAAAGGTCCTCGCCTTGCACGCCCTGGGATCCCATATGGGCGCCGGTTCTAATCCTGGCAGCCCCGCTTCCCTTCCAGCTCCCTGCCTGTGGCCCTGGAAAGCAGTTGAGGACGGCCCAAAGCTTTGGGACCCTGCACCCGCGTGGGAGACCCGGAAGAGGCTCCTGGCTTCGGATCGGCATAGCATCGGCCCGTTGCGCTCACTTGGGGAGTGAATCATCGGACGGAAGATCTTCCTCTCTGTCTCTCCTCTCTGTATATCTGCCTTTCCAATGAAAAAATAATAAAAATAAATCTTTAAAAAAAAAGTTAACAGTTTTCACAGAAATCATAAGATTTAGAAATTGTTTGGGAATTTACTTCTTTACCTATTACCATGATACTTTTTTGGGATTTTTTTCCCCCTACTGGATACTCTGTGATCACTTCTTCATATGATAATAATTTTGTAATATCACCTCCTATAGCAGTTTCAATCAAAATGTATTTTACATTTTTAATAGAAGTTTCTTAGGGTTTCATAACTCATTGAAAGTGTTAGGAGCTTTTTAAAATATAAATTTAATATAATCATTAATGGCATTTTAAGATCCCATTTGACACAGAGGGGAAAAGCGAAAAGAGAAATGAGTTCTAACTATAATCAAGGTATTTTGCTTTTGCAAGCTTCATAAAGAAAGCTGACCCTGCCAGCATATTGGCAAAGTTCCTTCCAGGCCTTGGGGGACGGGGCGCATGTAACCGTGTGAAGGACTCGCGCTCGCACTGTGCTAGTCGTGCAATTGAGTCGCTCAATAGGGAAGGGCTAGAGCATCTCTGGGACTAATAGACAAGGCAGGATCCGCTTGGTGGCGCTGCCTTCGCAAGAGGAATTGAAAACACTGCACTTGGCCCCCCCTCCCCCCAAGCGTAAATGACTGTAAGAATGTCACTTTGTATTTTCCAAATCCAAGTATTTTTTAAAATGTGAGATAATTAACAGCATCCATGTGCTCTCAGGGTTTGTTTTTGTTTTTGTTTGGTTTGGTTTTGGATCTTGTTTTTGTTTTTGTTTTACTGCAGAAAACTGCCAATGAACTAAGAAGTGTGATGCCAGCTCTAGGCAAGGCAATTGGGGCTCTGAACGCCCTGGATAAAGCTGATGTCACTGAATTAAGGTAAGTTTCTGTGCGGTTAGAAAAGCTCAAAATAAGATGTATATGCACAGTAGAAGTTAGTAGCCCTATATCCCATTTTTAGTAAGTCAATTCTACCAGTCTTGGTTTAAGTTCTTTAGTGACTTATACTGTATGTTACCAATTATAAGGCAAATGAATATGTTATGTGCCCCTTCTGGGGGAGTAATGTTGTAAAACCATGATGTATTCTCTGTTGTAAACTGAATCTCAATCTCTGAGACAGACAAAAAAAAAAAAAAAAAGTTCCTCCTAGAACCAGTATAAACTCCGGCTTACTCCCGCTTTAGCTGAAAGCTGGGGCCCAGTAGGAGACTGTGTATTTGAGGCTGCAGTGCCAGCCACTACCACACGGTGTCGTATGGGAGACACTCCTGCTTGCTGTGTGCTTTCCCTAACTCAGTCCTCCCAATGTGGTGGAAAGTGGTGAAAGCCACGCTTAAGGAAATACAGAAGAAATGGGGTGGCATACAAACATCCCATCCTGTAGGTACTCATTTGAATCTTTGGAAACCTCAAATTAAGAAGTGTCTAACCAATTAGACAATGGAAAATTGTCTTATGTCTTAGAATGTATTGGATTGTCTATTTACAGAAAGTGCTATTTCAATACAGGATGTGGAAATTCTGAGAAAATACACCATCTTATTTCTGATGCATTATCCACAGGGTAAGAACTGAAGATAGCAGAGGGGCTATTCAATGCATTTAGTAGTGTGTTGTGCTGACAATGCTGAAAGTCCCCCTGACCTTAAAGAGCAACGACACAGACACGCACTCATCCTCATGTGCATTGAATGATTAATTCAGTTCAGCCGAGGTTGGTGTACCTTGTGAGGGGGCAGCAGCTAACAGATGGGGAAGGCCTCTCTGATGCTGCAACAGAGAACTGAATGAAGTTGGGAAGTAAACCAAGCAGGTGTCTGGAGGGAAGTGTGTGCCAAGCAGAGGAAATGGAATATCCAAAATGCTTAAGGCTGACGTGTGCTTGGTGAGTTTCAGCAACTGCAGAAGACCCAAGATGACCAGAAGGGGTGTCAGGAGCTGATATCAGAGAAGTATCAGGGCTGGTCCTCTCCAACAAAGCAACCTCCACCCCAACCCCCAAGCACACAGCAGAAGCTCCTATTCTCTTACAATTTCCCTGGCAGATATTCCTTTAAGAGTAACCTGCTCATCTCCTGCAGCTTAATTTCAGAGTGGTTGTATGTCACAGGGGTTAAGCTCACAGGCTCTGACAGTAACTACAAAAGCTAACGAAAACCAGGCTTATCCTTACATGCACCCCGTTTGTTGGTCAGTTGGTTGCTTTGCCAAGAGTCTGCACTGTGATGTTGCTAATGGGCATGTAACTCAACATCTACATGCCTCACAGAGGAGGTTGCCTTCCAATGCCACGTCTGCTATTGCTGTTGGGATATGCAGTGGGCACCTCCAGCAGGTGCCAGCTCAGCTCATCTTCCACCCAAGCTGCTATATCTATCATCAAAATACAAATGCCAGCCATATGACAGCTTAATCCCTTGGCACTTTGCAATGTGAACCATAAGAAGAGAGAAAAAGATAGTGCGAAATGCAGATGGCGATAAATCATTAAGGGTCCGAAACAGACTACTGAGGAGTAAAGGAGAACTTGAAAGCAGATTGCCAGTATGGACGGGTCTCTGCATCAAGAGCATATCGAATGAACTAGAGTCAATTGGATCATACTTTCCCTTTAATTTACATTAAGATTTCAGAGATAGTACATTTCATCTCAATATATTGACAAGTTTACTTTAAATAGTCAAAATTGAGAAAAAGTTTGTTGTTGGAACTCCCACCTCGCCTCTGTGGACTTCATCTCTCTTTTCCTGCTGCTTCTTTTGTTGTCTTTCTCATCATCAAATCTAAGAAAAACAATCTGAAAAACTAGTTAAAGTGTGAATTGTTTAGTTGTTGAGTCTACCAGAAAGCGGCACACAGTTTCCAAGTAGACTAGTGAAGAGAATGAAGGTTAGTCCGAACAAACGCATAGATTCTGGCACTGATAAGCCCTGTAGATAGAAGTGGTCTCTCATGTCGCCTTCCTCCGTGGGAGGCTTCCTGCGTGTCCTTCAGTTAGGGAGACTCAGTACCCTGTGTGAGTCCTCCCTTCTTGTTCCAAGTCCGGATTTGTCATTAGTAAACCTCTCGTGGTTTGTCATTAGTAATTCCTCCTTGGGGAATGTTTTAGTCTGAACCCTGGTTTTCCTAAGCAGCAGTTGGCTGGCTAATGGTGCCGTGGCACCTGATCGGCCACAGCTAAGAGGCAGCTGCCTGTGTTCCGGTAAAGCTGAATTCCCATCTGCTTTCTTTCCCCTGACTTTGCTTCATCCGTGATCTTCGTGGTAGGCCTCTGAGGTTAGGATGGAGAATCATCAGAGGATGTGTTTGAAGAGGGTAAGACCACACAGGAATAGCAGAATACGGCTCTGCACCTCTGCAGCTCCTCCTGCAAATATACAGAAGTGTCTCAAGTAGTCAGCTGTAAATCAGTACAGGAAGGAAATAGACAGGTTTCCATTTGTAAATAACTCAGAGGAAAATATTTTCGTAGTAAAACTAGTCTAACTCAGATATTGTACAGATTTAGATTTTATGAGTATCAACTGTTAGAGATGAATTAATGGAGAACATGAGAGGCTATGCAGAACTGAATTTTAGTTATAACAGGGCAGCCATCATCTCACAGGATGACACACCAAAACAGAGTTTTATTCTTTTACAAAAACATAGTGCAAGTGGTGGAAAAGCAGGTGCACGGAGCACAGATTAGCTGAGTTTCCTGAAGGTCAGAGCAGCCCATGACAGTTCCAAGCAAAGGGTATGTAAGTAGCTCTCCTGTGGGAAGAAGGAATCAGGCAACATTCCGAGGGACAACATAACATCAGATTCTGGGGTCAGGTCTTTGCTTGACTCCAGACCCACACACAGCCTTGCATGTACACAGGGTATCCTCTGCCTTACATCTCTTAGAACGTCTGCCAGGCATCCACATCAGTCATCAAAACAAATCTCCAATATTAAAGACACCCGAATTTTAGTAACCACATAAATAATAGAATGACTATATGGATGGGCAAAGCAGTTCTCAACCACACACTTGTTAAAACAGCGTGTACGTTGTCTCCTGAGATAGTTTGCAGGTGCCTTTGACTTAACTAATGAAGGTGGTGGTGCTTTGGCCCTCTTTGTCACAGAGCGTATGCACGGCCTCCCTTGCTTATACTGACTGTCATGAAGGCGGTGTGTATTCTTCTGCAAAGAAAACCTAACTGGAAGACAGCTAAGTTACTGCTTGCAGAAACTGGTTTCTTAAGAAAATTGATTAACCTTGACAAGGACAGCATACCTGATCAGGTAAGACTGTTGATCCCTAAGTAATGTCTAATTGGTGAGTTGTGCATTTATAATCCAAAGAATCCATTAGAAATGTTAGCATGGCTATTCCACATTAGAGTTGGAAGACGGTGGGAAAAGCTGAAAGCACAGAGAGGGCCACATTATTCGAACTTAGCAGATTGCCTGGGAATGTCAAGGAAAGCCCTGTGTCATTGAAGGCAGAATGTCTTTGAACACTGAGGAATAGAGAATTAATAGAGGCTCATACTGGGCGGAAGCTACCTGGGGGCGCAATGTGGGAAGGGGTTGTGTTGTACCATGAATTATGATGAGTGGATTAGCCTAAGAGTTTTCCTTCTCGTAAAGGCAGGGCCAGACATTGTCCTGTGTGCTCTACAGATATTAACTCATGTAGTAAGGGAAAGCAGGAGTAAGGAAGGTAGGATAGTCTGGGTTTCGCTGTAGCAGATGTAGTTCAGAAGAAGGTAAATTTACTGTACAACTTCAAGGAGACAGAACGGAACTGAACAAGTCCAAGATCTTCAGAATGTTCATGGAAATGCGTATCATGAAAAAAAAAAACTGGGCATTGATTTAAAATATTTTTAACATCAAAATAAATGTTTCTCTTTTTTTGCATATTTTCATGAGCTTTTTAAAGTAACTTTCAGGCACCAGGAGACTGGGGCAGGTTATGCTGGGCAAATGAGTCTTATAGAAGGAAGGGGTATGGCAGAGCAGGCAAGTGGTCCCAAAGGTAAGAGAATCCTTCAGCCGCTGTATCTGTCATCCCTTGTGTGAGCGTTTGGCACAGCAGCCACGGGACACAGCCAGGAGTACCTGTGTTGGTACCAAGATGTGGCTGTTGCCGTACTGAACACTGGAGCCTGTGGCCTACATGGCAGAGGCTGGGAGAATATCCAGCCTGAGGGACACATGCAAGCTGGGAGTCAGCTCACAGGTGGGCTGGCCACCTCTTGCTAGTGAGTGGCGCTGTCCTAGGCTGACCGGCTGAGTGAGTGAGTGAGCAGTATCTTTCGTGTAGAAGAGCAAAGCGTTCCCTGGTGTTACAGGACTTCCCTTGGACAGACTTTACATAGCTAACAAGACAGGTAATGAGTTAGTTGTGACGATGACTGTGCTGTTAGGGAAATGCAGGACAGGATGTGAGGAAGGTGCATGTCTTGGCAGAAGGTTAATGTCATCACCTTTATTACTCATGAATGAATTCAACAAGGACTTGTTCTCCAAGGAATTCTTAATAAGTAGGATTCCCTGTGGCTTTGTTTGCATTGGCAATTAATTAACAGCTCATATTCTTTCTTACCTGGAAGAATCTATTTCCTGACCAATTTAGATGGAAGATGATCCATTCTCAATTTATTATTTGTGTCATCATCATAGAAAATATTAATCTCATCATTAAAAGATTGTTTACTTGAAAGGCGGAGTGATGCGGATAGGAGGAGGATAGAAATAGCCGCTATGGGGAGTAAATCCTGCAGGGCAGCCAAGGACAAGGCCAGGCTGAAGCCAGGAGCCTGGAAGAACTTCTGGCTCTCCCACATCCAGTGGTAGGGGACCAAACATTTGGGCCATCATCTACAGCTTTCCCAGACACATTAGCAAGGAGCTGGATGAAAAGAAGAGCAGCTATGACTCAAACCGACACTCAAATAGGGTTCCAGTAGCAGTGATAGCTTTTAACCCATTCTGTGACAATACTGGCCTGGTTGAAGATGAAAGAATCTCTATCTGAAAAAGATTTCATTCTGGTTATGACCCCCAGGAGTTCAGGAGAAATCCTGTGTTTTTCTGATTATAGCAGTAAAACAGCACCCACCTTTTTGCAGAGGTGGGTGAATCTGTTGGAGTATAAACACAAGCCAAGCAATGTCTTAGCCCCAAGCCACACTTAGGGCACCCCACCATTCTTGACTAGACTGACCTTTGGATGTGACTGTGCCCCATCAGTATGAGGCCAAAGACGGAGGAAGGTATCCCTGGTAACCCACACACCAAAGTGCATGGAGGGACTGCAGACCTTCGACACCAGAGGCCCCAAAGTCAGAAGAGAGTTCACCTGTTCTACTGGTTTCAAATGCAGTTCACCTTAATGAAAGCGATTCTGCAGCAAGGACAGCAGCAACAGCAAGTGTATGTCTTTGGTTCCACTACTGACTAATAGTTGGATCAAAACTATATCCTACTGTAGAGTGAGGAAAACTTCATTTCAGTAATACTTCTTTTGTTGTAAGAATTTATTTATTCCTTCATTCTTGCATGCATACTGTTAGCAAGAGAGGAAGTGATCTTGCAGAGCCAGGAGCTTTCTCTGGGTCTCTCACAGGGATGCAAGGGTGCAACCTTGTGGACCATCTGCTGCTGCTTTCCTGGGTGCATTGGCAGGATGGTGGATCTCGAGTGGAGCAGTTAGAACTCAAACCAGTGTTCATACGAGATGTCATCACAGGCAGCTACTTAGCTTGCTGTACCCCAGTGTAGGACCAAATAATACTTCTTTGTCATGTAACCCATAAACTGTATTATTTCTAGGTTTTCATGAAGCTGAAAAAAATTGTAACCTTACCTGATTTCAAACCCAACAAGATTGCTCTGGTTTCCATTGCCTGTTGCTCGATGTGCCAGTTTATTATAGCTTTGAATAACTACCACGAGGTCCAGAAGGTATGATTGTTCCACCCAAGTACCTGCAGTGGTTTGAAAGGGACACATCGAAGTTCCAGAAAGAATTTCTACTTAATAGTGTTCAAATGAGCTTCTGTGGGAAAAATGCCTGACAAAAATGCTGCAGTCACATGTATTATACCAACTCACACAGGTGTCAAATGCTCCTATTACATCTTTTACTGTGCTGTTGTTTGATTTGTTTGTTTTAGTATGTATGACCATAATATGTTACTTTATATTCCTTTGGTACACATTAATTCCAAGAATATTTATTTTCCATGGTCAATGCTTATAAAAGTCTTTCAAACATAAGTGGCACCTTTAACAGTAAATTTGACTTTCTTAACCCTTGAATGTTCTGACATTCTCTTTAAGCTGGTGGGGCCCAAGCAAATCCAAATAGCTGAAGCTCAAAATATTCTTAAAATCTCACGGAAAAGGTTGGCTGAAAAGCAAAGAGGCTTACAGCTGGTAAGCAGTGTTTTTACTTGATCAATGCTCAATACATTTATGAACCAGACAAAAATGTGAAAGAAATGTGATTATTTCAATAGAGCTTATGAGTTAAAAATGAAATGGGAACAATTACACAGTGAAGAGATTGTAGGGAATAAGTAAATAATGTGGGTAAAAACCTTCCACATTAAATATATATATATGTGTGTGTGTATATATATATATATTTTTTTTAACTTGGAAGGCAGAGCAACAGAGAGAAGACAAAAAGACAAAGAGAGAAAGATCTTCCATCTGCTGATTTGCTCCCCAAATGCCTACAACAGCCAGGACTGACCCTGACCAAATTCAGGAGCCGGAATTCCTGAATGTTTCCCAGTGGATGGCAGAACAAAAAGAATCTAGATATGTTAAAACTTTTTTTTTAAACAAATAACCAAGACTCTTCAAATGTTAAGATTGGAAGGAAGCCTAGTACAGAAGAATGGTGGTGTTTTAAAATACCAACTACAGTGCCGAGGGAATCATTTCATTACTACAGTGTGCATTTTCATTGATAATATAATATATCTGGGAAGATTTTCCAGGATGTGACTATGAAATGGTTCCAGCTCTAGTTACATATGTGATAGACTCTAGAAGAACATGAGAATAAGTTTTTTTCTCAATAATTATCTTTCAGATTGAAGATCATTTACTGTTGCTACAGGCAACCTATAAAAATATTATAGCTGAAAAACAGCAATTAATTAGTTCAAGAAGACTGGCCATCAGATGCTTTCAGTGTGCTTCTGTCTTACCAACTGTCCTGGAAGATGAAAAAGTAAGATTTCCCATGGCTTTATACCTTCCTTACTGATTCATCCTGGGTTCAACAAACCCCAAGAAGTTATTTCCACTGTGAGCTACATCATATGCCTACTCAAACGTTTTTACTATTCGGTTTGTTATTGATAACAATCGAAGATGATTCAAAGAAGGTACAGGTGTTCAGGGTGAGAAGCCTTGAAACAGAGGTAATGACTATAAAGATCTAAGATTTTCTCTTGGTCCTAAGACATCAGCATGCTTTTGTTTGATGAGAACAAAAATAAAAATTTTCAATGAATATATCATGAGTCTTCCTTCTCTCACACTGACACAAGCGAAGTTGATTGCATACCAACAGGGAGGGGCCAAAAGAGAGGAAACATCATCAGGATGGAAAAAGGAAATGTCATTTTGTTCTGTTGCTCTTCCAACCCCTCCCTCATTTTCTGGTCTTTTTATTTCTTATCTGATTCATCTGCCTTTTCTACAACTGAATCCTTCATAAAATGACTACAATCTGGGTTTAGTGGTACCTGAACTACTTCAAGGAGTATTACAAACATTGTTCAGATTGTTTCAATTTCATGCAATTGTTTAAATAAATACATATCACATAATATTTTTACGGGACACAGAGAAGAAAGATAACATATGTAATATACAAATCAAATATCACAGTGGGTGTTGTGGAACAGTGCATTAAGCCATCAACTGTGTCCCATATCAGGGTGCCAGGCTGAATCCCAGCTGCTTTGTTTCTGATCTCATTTTCTGATGATGCCCTTCGGAGACAGTGGGTGATATCTCAATGCTTTGGCCCACCTCTCCCTCATGGGAGACCCAGATAGAATTCAAGGCTCTTGGTTTTGGTCTAGCCAAGCCCCCAGCTCTTAAAGACATTAGGGGAGTGAATCAGCAAACAAAATTACTATCTCTCTGTCAAGTGGATGAAAATAATTAAACCTGGACCCAGCACAATGATTCCATTAGCTGATGCTCCCCCTTCAAGATCCCATATGGGGGTACCTGTTCATGTGCTAGCTGCTCTACTTCCCATCCAGATCCTTGACTGTTGCCTAGGAAAGCAATAGAGCATGTCCCAAAGCCTTGGGACCCTGTACCCACAGGAAGAGGCTCCTGGCTGCTGGCTTTGGATCAACTCAGCTTTGGCCATTGTGGCCATCTGGGGAATGAACAAACAGATTGAAGGACTCTCTCTCTGTCTCTCATTCTCTCTTGTAGATCTGCCTTTCCAATAAAAATAGATTTAATCTTAAAAAAGAAAAAGTAAAACCTCTTTCTGAAAATGAATATAATGGCCCTGAAAAGTTGGATGCTGTCCCAGAGGCAATAGAATCTTACCATCATCCCAGACTTGAAACTTCAAGTTCTTATCAACATACTTTGTTCATTGCCCAAACAAGTTCTTGCGTAGTTGAAGAAGGAGGCTGGCTAGCTGGAGAGTATGAGTTCAGTGTTATCTACACCCTCAGAAGCTTTATAATCGGGAGTTCTTTGCTTCAGCTTGTCTAAACTACAAGTACTTTATCTTAAAATCAGTGCTATTTACTTAGCAGGCTACTGACGGTGTCCAATGAGATTCTCAAAGTAGTATCTAGGAGATGAGTAAAGATTCAAAAAATACTTGGTTATGCTCTTGTTGAACACTATTTCTGTATAATTAATTTATATTCTCAAAATTACCTTGTTTTATTACCTGAGAGTTCAAATGGTTGCATATCTGTATTAATAAATATAACACTATTGAAAACCCCAAGGACTAGTGTTGCTCTCAGAAAACAGTTCATTTTAAAATATCCTTTTTTTTTTCTTCACAGATTTGTTTGAAAGCCAGAGTTGGAGAGGAAAAGACAGAAGGAAAGATCATCCATATGCTGGTTCATTCCCCATACGGCCACATTGGTCAGGGCTGATCAAGCCTAAGTCGGGAGTCTTGAACTCCAACCAGGTTTCCCACGTGAGTCAGGGCCCGAGGCCTTGGGCCACCTCAGCTGCTTTCCCAGATGCGTTAGCAGGGAGCTGGATGGGAAGTGGAACAACTAGACTCCTACCAGTGCCCAATGGGATGCCATTGTCAAGGCAGCAACTTATCCTGCTGTGACACAAAACTATTCCCAGATAGAATTCATTATGAATTTCTGTATATTAGAGCTTGAGAACATAATAATCATAACTTGTGGGTCCACCCTGGAGATCATTAATCTTAAAAGTAATAGGTGTGTCATAGTAAATAGTAAAAATTAGCCCAAGTACTGGTACATTGGCTCAACTGGCTCATGCTCCCCCTCCAAGTGCCAGGATCCCATGTAGATGCTGGTTCGTTTCCCAGCTGCTCCACTGCCCATCCAGATCCCTGCTTGTGGCCTGGGAAAGCAGTGCAGGACAGCCCAAAGCCTTGGGACCCTGCACCCACATGGGTGACCCAGAAAAAGCTTTTGGCTCCTGGCTACAGATCGGCTCAGCCCTGGCCATTGTAGCCATCCAGGGAGTGAAGCAGCAGATAAAAGATCTCTCTGTCTCTCCTTCTCTCTTTAAATCTGCCTTTCCAATAAAAATAAATAAAGCTTTAGAAAAAAAATCTGGTCAAGAAATTTAAAGTGAACACATTTGTATGACACGTGTGTATTACATCCATGGAACGGTATGTTGTATATGGAAGGTTCACTTGTATCTTTTCTGCACTCAGACTCGATGGCAAGAAATAATCAGTCACCTGGACAGCAGATTGCAGGGCCTCTGGGGCGACAGCCTCCTCTCCGCAGCGTGCGTTGTCTACAGCGGAGCCTTGACGCCAGCCTTTCGCCAGTTGGTTGTGAACAAATGGCAGGATTTCTGCATTCAAAACAGCATTTCTATGTCTTCCAACTTTTCTTTAGTTGACGTCATGGCCCAGAAGTCTGAGGTAGTAACCTGTCTTGATTGTCCAGTTAAGGGACTGCTGTTGTTGAGTCCGACTTGGGGTAGGGACATGTTTTTGGTCTTCGATCTTTCCCCTCCGTTATCTTCATGTGTGAAAACTGGGGAGTCTGTTTCAGGCCTTAGCATTTTTCACGTATGGTTCCAGTGTCTCAGTTATCTCTCTCCTGTTACTCATGCCCTTGGTAAATCACACAATATCCTTTTTCCCATTGTATCCAATTACATGATCCTGATGAATAGCGCTTAATTTCTCACTTTGAAATCATTAATGAAACTGGTGAGCTTATTAAGCAACTTGGAGCATGCTTAGACACAGTAAAAAAAAAAAAAAAAGAAACATGTAGTCCCTCTTTTGGCAATCTGTCTTAGAAGATTAAAAATAAAAACCTTTTTTTAAATCCTAAGAGCATAATTACCGATTCATTTCTCTGTGGTGAGCCTGCTTAAATAGACAACCTACCTGTAAAGTCTCAGAAACAAATATTGGCTTTTCATTATGGCGATGCTCGTTAAACCCAGGAATGTCAATATTATATATAAATGCAACTGAAAGTCTATAATTGTAATACTTTAAAATAGTATAATCCTCCATCCCCCAATATACTGATACAGTTTAGCATCTGGAAGCGGCCCCTTCACTTTCTCCCTCCCCCAACCTAGATACAGGAGAAAAAGAACTGGAAAATAGGAAGCATTTGTTGCACCCACCTTCCCCCATCCGCGACCCTCCCCAGCTTAATCAGTGGTCCTTGTGAGTATGCATCCTTGCCAACTATGTAAGAAACATCAAATATTAAAAAAATAAAATAGTGGGCCCGATGCGGTAGCCGAGCAGCTGAAGTCCTTTTACCCTCAACCTCTTTTAGCCTCAGTTCCTCCGTCTAGATTTTCTAACATCCATGTACTTGGCAAACGGTAAATGCCAAATGACGTCACTATTTTTGTACACTACTGTGCTATCCGATGTCTTACCTATGAATTCGAGATAAGGAGCTTGGAAACAGACGCTCTTCCTCAAGCGCCTCTGCTGTCTGCTGCAGAAGCTTTGTGTGCATATCCAGTTTGCCTCCAGTGGTTCGTTTCCTTAATCCTTCTTGAAGACAGCTTGGCTGTTGTAAAAGCAGTGGTCTTGTAGCTTCCTTTGGCACTCTGTAAGATGCTCGCAATGTGAAGCTCCTGAAATGGTGCCAGTAGAAATTGTTTCGTTCCAGATCTACCGGTGGCATAACCAAGGGCTGCCTGTTGGCTGGTACTCGACAGAGAATGCCATCCTGATCAAGAACAGCCAGCAGTGGCCCCTGCTCATCGACCCGCACAAGCAGGCATACAACTGGATCCGCCAGATGGAAGGCTCCAAGCTGCAGGAGCTCTCCGTGGAGGACAGCGGTTACACCAAAAAGATGGAGCACGCTATGAAGATGGGAGACAGCGTCCTCCTGCAGGTACCGGAGCATGGAGCAGGGTGCTCTGTTTCCTGGCAGTTGGCCCCATGCACTGAAGGCACCGAGCATGCAAATCGAAAGTTTGAAGTGATGGGGAACTTTGTCAGGGGAAAAGCAGTAAGAAACACATTGACAGATGTCTGCATCCCTGTGGCGCGTCTCCGGTGCTCCATCGTCTTACAGCTGTGTCACCGCTGAGCAGACATTAGGATTACGGTGTTCAAGTATTGTGTCCTCTCAGTTGATTTAAGGTGGTCTCTCCTACTGATACCCATTGCCTGTTTGTTTTCAGAATCTCCCCGAAACATTAGCTCCAGACCTGAAGGTGATTCTGAAGAAGCGGATCTATCAGAAAAGGGGGCAGTCTTTCATGAAGATTGGCAGTTCAGAGGTTGAAATCAATGCCAACTTTAGGTAATGTTGCCCACAGGAATGGCTCTGTAAACATGTAATGCTAGAATCCTTGTGTTTCAGTCCTGCTAATCTTCCACCTGAGGAAAGAGTGAGTTTGCATTTAAATGTTGTTTTGCGTGTGCAGGCACGCGTGCATGCTGAGGCTCGCATCAGAACACAGAGTAGGAAACCAACTCATATCCATCAGATCACTCTCACCCGATATTTGTCAACACGTGCCTGATGCAATCTAGGACTCCAGGAGGAAGGACTCTTCCAAAGAGACACAAACGGGGCCACCAGAGGGAGGCCTGGCCCCACCTGCTCACACCCACGTGAACGACTAACGTGTTTACATGGGAAGATCTTATGCTGCTTTTAAGGGGGAAAAAAAAGTGTGTTTAATTCTAGAGCAAAAAGGGAATCTGCCTTCAGGGACACAGATGTTGTGTCTGTGTTGCCAGCAGTCAAGGCCCCAGGAAGGGCTGTCACCTGCCAGCATTATGGGGCATGATTATGTAGTCAGATATTATGAGCTCCGAGACAGCGTTCCCAAGGAAAAGCGATACTTAGGTTCTTCTGCAGTTAACCAGAGGATTGCTGGGTGAGCAGGACACTTAGTAAGGGAATCTGGAAAGCATTCGTGATCTCAGGGCTACTACCTCTTAAAAAAAAAAAAAAAGATGCGTTTGTTTACCTGTGCATTTGAAAGGAAGGGTGATAAAGAGAAGGGAAGATCTTCCTTTGGCTGGTTCACTCCTCCAGTGCCCTCAATGACTCGGTTTTACAGGAAATGTGGCGAGGAGTCATGTAAACTCAGTAAGTGGGGTTTCCATGCTCACTAAGTTACCATCCATGTTACATACGTCCCATGTTCAGTGGGAGCTCGGTGTTATAATGAAAAGGGGATGGGCTTTTAATGGCAAGAAATGAAAACCAGTCAAGGCTTGCAGTCAGCCGTTGAACTGTGTCTTCATCCAGCCTGCATCCTCAAGTCCAAGCAAAGAACATGTGCCGTTTTCAACTTGGTCAGTCAGATTTACCCTGTTCCCATGCAGGGCTGAGTGTTGTCACTGTGACAGGTGAAAACTCATACCATTTAAACCTTAACCCAAATATAATATGGATATGATTAATAATTGTATTTTTTATAATTTAATTAAAAAAACTAGAGCGTACGTGGTGTGCAAGGCTGAGTAACTTGAAAAATTGGCCTATTTCAGGGAAAAATATTCTCATGCTATTAAATAGGCTGGTTATTTTTTTTCTATGTATGTTCTGTGTGTAACTGGAACCTTTCTCTTGTTTAGGTTATACTTATCTACAGCAATAGATAATCCCCACATCCTTGCATCTATTTATAACTTTGTTACTGTGATCAACTTCGCGGTCACATTCCAAGGTCTGGAAGATCAACTCCTGTCGACAGTGGTAACACATCAAGTCCCTCATTTAGAAAGTCAACGCCACCAGTTGTTGCAAAGTATTTCCCTTGACACAGTAACCCTTGAGGAGCTGGATGAAAAAACATTGGACTTGCTAGAGAATGCACCAGGTAAGTCACGGGATGGAGAGCTAGCAGGAGACCTGTTTGGAAGGTCAGAATGGAAAGTTATGAGGCTTGAATTCTGAGTAGGGACCAGAACTATGAGCAGGTGGCTGTCTGAGTGACCCACTTGTCACGCGTCAGCTGTGATGTTCTTTGGTTTCAACTTTCGTTCTGCCACATTCTTTCATAGGACCTCGGCTACTGGGCAGTGACAAGATGTTTTACATGAGAAAGAGCCTGTGACTTCTGCGTATCCATAAAAGATGGGCTGTTTATTAAAATAGCTGCAGAAATTATATGCCTCTTCAAGAAATATTCAAGACACCATGGTCTAGATAGCAACTAAAAGACACATCTGTTCCTGGCACACACATCCCAGGCGAGGTAGCCCTAAGTCAGATGGGAAAAGTTACAGTTTACCTAACAATAGCAATCCGTGGTTTTTCTTTTTGCCTGTTTACTCCGTGGGCCCTGAGATTTTCCTCAGTCCTTTAGTCCTCTATTAGGACACGTATAGGAATCATCTGTCCGGTTTATTGTTTTGCTTTTCTGCTTACATACAGTTGCCCAGCGAGCACCCCCACAGGTTTTTCTAAAGGGGAACTTTCACATACTGGCCCCTGGCCTGCATTTGTTTTGAAGCTCTCATGTGAACATAAATCTCGTGTTCGCTGCTGACGGGATCATATCTGAGCAAATGCAAGCCCAGTGGTAGAGGATACTTCAGCTAAATGAATTCCTTTTCTTGAAAGGTAGAAATATCTCACTAGTAATGACATAAGGATTCACCTAGATCATTGCGAATGTGATGTCCGGATCCTGGAATGTGAATCGGTAGCAGTCTCTTTGCCCTTGCGATGGTCGCATTAACTGGAAGGCTGTGCCCACTTTCAAGAATACTCTCTTCAAACTAAATGTGTTCAGAGGCAAGCGTTGGAGGTGGTGAGGGGTCACAGAATAGTATCAGCAGAACAAACAAAACAAAACCCCACACTTAAGCAAAATGGAACTATTTAACCCAGAAAGTAGAAAAAAAAAATTAAAGCAAACAGGTCATTTTTTAAAAAGATACATTTATTTTATTACAAAGTCAGATATACAGAGGGGAGGAGAGACAGAGAGGAAGATCTACCGTCTGATGATTCACTCCCCAAGTGAACCGCAACGGAAGATACTGTGCCAATCCAAAGCCAGGAACCTCTTCCAGGTCCCCCACGTGGGTGCAGGGTCCCAAAGCTCTGGGCCATCCTCGACTGCTTTCCCAGGCCACAAGCAGAGATCTGGATAGGAAGTGGAGCAGCCGGGATTAGAACCGGCATCCATATGGCATCCCAGCGCGTTCAAGGTGAAGACTTTAGCCACTAGGCCACGCCGCTGGGCCCCAAACAGGTGATTTTTTAAAGATTGATTTATTTTTGTCGGAAAGTCAGATATACAGAGAGGAGGAGAGACAGAGAGGAAGATCCTCTGTCTGTTGTTTCACTCCCCAAGTGGCCACAGTGGCCAGAGCTGAGCCGATCCAGGAGCCAGGAGCTTCTTCTGGGTCTCCCATATGCATGCAGGGTCCCAAGGCTTTGGGCTGTCCTCGACTGCTTTCCCAGGCCACAGCAGGGAACAAGATGGACAGCAGGGCTGCTGGGATTAGAACCAGCACTCATATGGGATCCTGCCATGTGTGCAAGATGAGGACTTTAGCCACTAGACTACTGAACTGGGCCCAAAATAGAAGAGTTGATCATGGAAATCTGAGCGCCATCTCAAACAGAAAAAGGTGAATTGCAACTTATCAATGGGTAAAGAATTCTGGTTCATTGGTTATGATCAACTTATTTGTTTAATAAAATAGAATGCATTGCAAAACATCAAAGGACATTGTGTTAGCAAATGTTATTTTCTGAGATTTTTTTTTTACTGAATCTTCTCTATAGTGGGTCACAGTTAAAAGATTTTCCTGTTTGATGGAATGGTTATTTAGTCTATGCCTTAAAGAAAGTAGACTTCCCCAGACACTAAAGTGGCAGAAGGAAGAGATGAGAGAGGAGGAGGCCCTGTGCAGGTTTATAGAAATACACCTGCCTTCCCTTAAGGGTCCACTCCTATGCTGGACCAACTAAAGTCCAACATGAGCACTTTACTTAAAGCACATGGCATGAGGAATCATCCCATTAGACAAGAGTCTTTATTTGTTTGTTTTGCTTGTCTTTAGGATGTGTAATAGAGGATGAAAAGGTTGTCGTCTCCTTAAGAAAATGCAGAATGATGTTAGATGAAACATTGAAGCACATCAAATCAGCAGAAAAAGCCGAAGCGGAGGCCCAAGCCCTGCGTGATGACTACCTCCCCGTTGCCACCCGCGGCGCCCTGCTCTACTTCCTGGTGGCTGATCTGGCTCAAGTCAGCACCTTGTACCAGTTCCCCCTGGACTGGTTCCAGCAGGCTTTTGCTTCCGCCATCACTACCCAAAGCGAAGACCAAGAGCATGGCACAAGAAAGGAAAATATTTCTCTGAAAGAAGTTTGTGAGATTATAAACATTCCAAAAGAACCTAACATGGGAAGTGAGAAAAATCTCCTAAGCTCGTATATTAAAAATGCAGTAGATGCATTGACAAAAAGCATTTTTCAGGTGAGGTATTCTTTCCTGTGAGTTGTGTGTTCTTCTCCCACCGAGCTGCGAGTCTAACACGGTGTATTCCTTGCAGTTGGTTTCCTCAGCTCTGTTGGATCAACATAAGCTTTGCTTTTCCTTTCGGCTTTGCACTGCTATCATGCAACATAACGCTCATGCAAGCGTAACGCATGACAATGTCGGAGTTCTACCAGGAAAAGAATGGGACATCTTCTTAAATTCTGGCAAATTCACAAATATTCCAAGTGCCCAGCCTAAACTTAATAGTAAGTAAACATAATTCCTCTGGATTTATTGAAGTCCTCTTAGGACCATGCTTTCTTATACTCAAATATCTCTAATGCTTCTTCAGTTGGTTAAGGTAAAAAGCAGTTTTGAGGTTCAGCACATATCTAACACGTTGTTGTAGCCTCCATATTAAGCCCATAACTGGTACTGAATGGTCTTTGAATGAATTAGGAATGAAAGATCATTTCTGTGGTTATTGTTATCATAATCTACAGAGCAGAATACACCCACATACAGAAACACACACACCTCGATTAAATACCATCAGGAATTAAACCTTATCCATCCTAACCTTCTGTGCCACAACGCCAACACCACTTTGTTAGGAAAATCCCTGAGGTGCTGGCGTGGCACAGTAGGTTAAGCTGTCACATTGGAGTCCACGTTTGAATTCTAGCTGCTCCACTTCCAATCTAGCTCCCTACTAATATGCCTAAAATAAGAGCAGATAGTCTGGTTAGGATGGGTAGAGTTTTTAAATGTTTTTTTAATTACACATTTTCAAATACATTTATTGAGAGGGTGCTCTAATACACATAGCAGAATCAACCATTTTAATGATTTTACAGTTATATAGCATTAAATACATTTACATTGTTGTGTCAAACATTTGTAAGTCACAGAAATATAAAATTTAAAGGAGATTTGATGTCAAACAAATAAACTAGAACTTGGAAACCTGCCCTAAAGAAGTGTATATCTTTGAACCCTGACCAAAAACAAAACAAAAACTGTCACAAAGATGCTAAGTGAACTAAAATAGAAAAGAACAGCAACAAAATGGAGAATTAAACAAAACCAGGAAGGCAATGCATGGGCAAAATGAGAATATCAGCAAAGACTGAAACTCCAAGAAATGCGAGAGCTGAGAAATACAGTAATTAAAATAAATAACCATTAAAGAAGTTTAAAACAAAACTCAATTAGAAAAAAGAAAACAATGAACAAACTTGAAAATAGGTCATTTGGAATCATCGACTCCTAGATGTTAAAAGAAATAAAAAGAACAATGGGGAGAACGTTAGGCCCCTGCACCCATGTAGGAGACCCAGAAGAAGCTCCTGGCTCCTGGCTTTGGATTGGCTCAGCTCCAGCTCCAGCTATTATAATCACTTGAGGAGTGAGCCAGTGGACGGAAGATCTTTCTCTCTGTCTCTCATTCTCTATAAATCTGCCTTTCCAATAAAAATAAGTCTTTAAGAAAAAAAAAATTGCTAATGTCCCATTGTCACTGGGACAATGACAGAATGATCGAAAAACTGGAAGAAAAAAACTCTGAGCCCAGAACACTGTATCCAACAAAATTGTCCTTCAAAAATGAAAGAGAAATTAAGACTTCCACAGATAAACAAAACTTGAGGGTAGTCATTACAGTAAACATCATCTAGATATGCTGAAAGAACCCCTTTAGGTTGAGGCTTAGAGTAGAAGAAAATTTCCTCAACATAAGATCACTTAGGAAAACCTACAGCTGACATTGTATTCACACTTTCCCTGCACATCCCTGGGAGGTGATCTGATAGAGGAACTCCTCTGTCAGGATGCAGTCCCTGTGGGTGAGTGCAAGAACCAAGACTGGAAGCAATCCAGACCAGACCAGTTTACAGTATCCACCAGCATACGTGTGGGTCAGGTCTGGGGGCAGGCCAGGATAAGCCAACTCATAGTACCCGCCAGCAGATCCAAGAACCAGGATGGGGGTGCAAGACAAGCCAAGTTGGGCTGCAGCACCAGCCAGTTCACATAAGGGCCAGGACTGCTGGCTGGGTTGGGCTGGCCTAGGCTGTGGCACCCACCAGCATGAGCTGGAACTGGACCAGGCCAGGCCAGGTCAGACTGCAACACTCATTGGCCTACATGTGAGCTGAGTTAAGGAGAGAGCCAGGCTGGGCTAAGCAACAGTAGCCACTGGTGCATGCATGAACAAGAGTAAGTGCAGGCTTGTTGAGCTTTGCTACAGCATCAACTGGCAACAGCTGGGAACTGGGGCAAGTCTTGACAGAATAAACTGCAGAACCACCTGAAAGTACAAGATCCAGGACTAAAAGTGGGCCTAGCAGGGAAACTGTGGGCATCCCTCTGATGGACTGCAGCTCCCACTGCTGAGCGTGAGACCTGGCTGGATAGACAGTAGTACCCACCAGCCTAAGTGTGGACTGGATAGTGGGGTCGGTTGGGCTGAGCTAGGCTGCAGCACTCACTGGTATGTACAAAGGTCAAATGCATCTTGGAGCAGACCAGACCAGTCTGACGCACATACCATCATGCGTAGGAACCAGGACTGGGGATGGGCCTGGTTATTGGGGATTGCTCCAGTGAGGCTGCAATTCCCACTGGTATATATGAGGGCTGAGTGTATGGTGAGCAGAGTTGGGCTGGGCCACAGTATCCACTGGTTTGTGTGCGAGATAGGGCTGGAGACAGAACTGGCCCAACAACTACAACCACCAGTGTGTGTGTGTAGGTTGATGTGGGTCATGGTCTGAGCCAGATCCTGCACTGGCTGGCACACGGGAGTCAGGTCTGGAGTGATCTCTGGTAAGGTTTCTTTGGGGACCACTACAACTGGACCCCTGGACTCACAACCACAGTTATGGGGAGAATCACAGGATCAGTGATCTTACCTTGGAATCCATGTACCAGAACTGGGTCCCCACAGAAGCTGCAGAAAGTGCAGTGGACAGCATGCCTTGGTATGGATAATGGGGGATATGGCAGTTCGTTGGGGCATGCATAGACCATCTGGTACAATAGCAGAGGATGGAGAGCAGAACAAACTGAACAGTTCTTTCAGCCAAGCTTTGACAGAAAGTATCTGGATGAATAGAGCCTCTGAGGTGGACTGTGTCAGCCAATGGACCTTGGAAGGACTTCTCATCCTTGGAGCAATGAATCAGCAGCATTTCAGAACTGTTGAAACCACTTGAGCAGTACAGGAAAAAGAAAAAGAAAAACTGGAAACAATGGCTTATCCACCTTCTCCTATTGCTCGACCCTTCCTACATTAATCAGTGATCCACATGGGCATGCACCCTTCTCAATACAATCACCATCAAAAATAAAATTTTAAATAAAAAACTATGGGGGGAGGGGATAGGGAAGGGTTGGGGGAATCCCAGAACCTATGAAATTGTGTCATAAAATGAAATAATTAAAAAAAAAAATAAAAAAGAAACCAAGAACAAAACAATAAAAGAAATATCTGAAAAGATACCCTTTTGTTACTGAAAATAGAATCATTGTCAGTAAAATTAACAAAAAATAGATAATTTGTATTTCAATGTTATGTTCTGTTTAAGTGTAACCATATTAATAAGAAAAATAATAAAAACCATATAAAAAGGAATGAGAGGATGTGGGCACAGCAGTGATATTTGCAATAACCAAAAATTAGAAGCAGCCAAGACATCTACCAGTGAATAAGCAAAATATGACTATACATATAACAGTATGTGGTTTGGTCTCTAAAAGGAAGGAAATCCTATCACAGTGTGGATGAACTGACACTGAATGAAATAAGCAAACCCCAGAAAAGCAAATACTGTATCCGCTTATTGGGGTAGCTGAAGTCAGATGCACAGAAATGGCAGTTAGTATGGTGGTTACCAAGATCTGGGAGGAGGGGAACAGGAGAGCTGTGTGATGGATGGAGTTTCTGATTCGCAGAAAAAGTTTTGCCAATTTCACAACAATGCAAATCTACCTAACATGACTGAGCTGTACATTTAGGATGATCAAATTTTTACCAAAGCAAAAAGAAGTAACTGTCATGTCATTCATTTCTTATAAACTGGTCTTTTCTCAACTGCAAATGTTTGTTCATAATTCACTTTGGAAGGAATAGCTAACAGAGGACTTCGCTCTTGTGGTGCGATCTCATTGTCTTTCCGTTAGGTGCGCTTGCAATGCCTGATCCACCTGCTCGGTGGCTGTCGGCTTCACGGTGGCAGCAGTGCGTGCATGTCAGCAGTCAGCTGAAACCGTTTGCACTTCTCTGCGAATCCCTGTTAGCCAACGCACCACAGTGGGATGCCTTCAAGAGCAGTGCGGACGTGTATGGTCTGATCAGCACACGCTTCTCAGAAAATGCAGGAACGTCGGAAGAAACTACAGAATCCTCCGAGGACAGTAAGAGAGAATATTCAGTGTCTCAATCTCATATTGAATGTGTGTGTGTGTGTATGCAGATGTTCAGTGTATAAATGTGACTGTAATATCCTGTGAAAGAACCGAAGTGCTACTGTGCTGTAAGTACACATGTGTTACTCAAGGTCACCCTACTTATCTTGTGAGATGGATATTATGAATTTCATCATTGCCAGTGAGAAACTCCTAGGAAATTGGAATTTTGGAGAAATGAAACATACCACGCTAGTTTCATGGCAAGCACTTTGTTTTAGGGGCAGACATTGTAGCACAGTAAGAAAAGCTGCTGCTCGGGGTGCCCACAGCGCCTGTCAGAGTGCTGGTTTCACTCATGGCTGCTCCACTTCTGACCCAGCTTCCTGCTAATGAATTCTGGGAAGCAACAGATGGCAGTTCAAGTTCCTGGGCCCCTACCACCCACATGGGAACTCAGATGCACTTGTGCTCTGTCCTGGTCCTGCCCTGGCTCCATGGCTGTTGGGGCATTTGCCTACCTACACACCCTTCCTGTGTTCTTGATACTTCAGAAATCAGCATTGTTTAAAAGAAACACAAATTGAGGTCTGGCATGGTGGCCTAGCGGCTAAAGTCCTCACCTTGTGTACCTGGGATCCTGTATGGACACTGGTTCTAATCCCAGTAGCCCCGTGTCCCATCCCTGCTTCTGGCCTGGGAAAGCAGTCAAGGATGGCCCAAAGCCTTGGGATCCTGCACCCATGTGGGAGACCTGGAGGAGGCTCCTGGCTGCTGGCTTCAGATCGGCTCAGCTACAGCCATTGTGGCCACTTGGGGAGTGAACCATCAGACAGAAGATCTTCCTCTCTGTCTCTCCTTCTCTCTATGTATATCTGACTTTGCAATAAAAATAAATTTTTAAAAAGCACAAATTCAATTTTTTCTGCTGCCTGCAGGAAGCCATTTTTAATTTTTATTAATATAAAGAGAATATATTTCTTGCGTGTTACAGGCAAGATTTTGAGAAGATAACCACTTTCCTCCTCCTTTTTTCTATCCTTCTTTGCCTCCCTCCCCCACTTCCTTCCATTCTTTTTTTCTTTAATTTTTGCAAATAAATGTAACTTCAGTCCACTTCATAATCACAAGCTTAACACACCACTAACCATAATATTCAAGAAGCAAAAGGTAGCAAGACCACAGATCCACAGGAGTATAGGCAAGACCTAAAACATCATATCACAAATGCCCATTTCATTCCTATACAATTTTTTGTATTCTATATTAAAACAGTTTTCACTGTAATATCATTTAGTGATACAAAACATGTGTTGACTCCAATCTCTCTGAATTTTATCTAGCTGAACTTCTGAAGGAAAATGAAGGCATGCATGATCCTACGCATTTTCCCTGGGAGAAACTCACTTCATTTCAAAGACTTATTTTGGTGAGCTATATGAGAAAGTCTGTGGGCCTGAAGCACTTTGTTAGTTGTTCAGCCCTTCAAATTTTAATATTGTATATCAAACGCATTGCTTGGAAAGCTAACACTTAGTTCACGTTATGTTGTAGAAGGAAGAACTAACCCTCTGCCCTTACCGTTCACACAGAGACTAATGAAGGTACTGGTCGGTCCTCCCCACAACGCAGGGCTTCCAGGGTGGTCAACTTGAGCATGACCTGGTCCTCCCTTCTCTGTTCCTGTCTGCATCTGTCTGCCTACAAAGAGCAGAACCCTGTGACTGGAGCCATCACCACTGGCTCCTGGAGTCTATCAGCAGGAAGTTGAAGTGGTATCCAGAGCTTCTGCTGAATCCAGGCACTTCTCTTGGGGATGTGGCATCTTCCTAGCTGGCATCTTAGGCACTAAGCTTAAGATATTCCCTTGGCAGCTTTTGACTTCTAGAAATAGTAGCTTCCCATGATGCAATGCTGCACACACACAGCACTTTAACACACATGGTCTCAGTTTGGCCTTAGGTGGTGGGGTTCCGGATCTGAACCTTCCCAGGACAGACTTCAAAGTCGTTCTGTGTAAAGACAGCACAGAAGTAATTTGTATAAAGCAGTCTTCATGGGAAAGCCCTTGTCTCAGACATCTGCAATGATTTCCACTAGCCCCTGAACCTCTGCTCTGCATACCTGTACTGTTTCCCAACTCTGGTAGTCCCTCTCAATTTTTTTTCCAGCTCTGCGTTCTGTTTTCTTAAGCCTGCAAGAACAGTGCTTTTTTTCACTTACGTAATAAAACCTAATGGCCATCCAGTTGCGACATCCCAGGTTCTTATCCTGCCGTCACTGTGATGCTTTCTTGCACGAAACATGTACTGTGAAATAGAAAAACTCCTCCAGGGGAGGGGGAAGGGCTGCTTTTGTAGTCTGGGAGCACAGCTGGGATCTTTGCGTCCACTGTCCGTCCCTCACATGTTAGAGGACGCAGTGGCAGTTTCCCCACCACGTGTGGCTTCCCTCCCGCTCGACTTTCCCAGCATGAGCAATGCCTGCAAACTGCCTGTAAAGCTATATGATAATAAACACATTATGTTTTTGTGCTTATTAGGCATTCGGAGTAGTCCCCTGGGTGGTTTTCAATTTTATCTACCATGGTTTCTTTTTTTTTTTTTTTTAAGATTAAAATCCTGAGACCGGAACAGTTAAGGAATTCGGTGAGAAAGTTTATAACTGAAAAAATGGGAAATGACTATCTTCCCAAAACTGGGATGAATTTGAAAGAATCGTATGAGAAATCAAGTGCCAGGACTCCATTAATAGTCATTCATTCTCAAGGTGAGCTGTGAGTGTTTAAGATGAGTGACACGCTGCCAGTCATGAGGTGTGCAGTGATGATTCTATGTCTGGCTTTGTATTTACAATAATTCCTGCTCTGGTTCAAACATTTTGGAAAAGTGACTGAGTAAAACTTTGTTAAAAATGAAGTGATCTAAAAAATTGAAGAACTTAGAGAACCCAAACGTCCCAGGTTTACAAATATGGGAAAATCTGTGTTAAGTTGCTCTGCAGAAAATTCCTTCTAAATACATAATTTTGCATTTACATTGGCTTGTGTAAAAACATACATTTTCTTATTTAAGCTATGAAAATCTCACCCTGGTATTGCTTAAAACTCCAAATCTCTCTCTCTCTATTCCTCTCTCTCTCTCTCCCCCTCTCTCCCCCTCCCTCCCTCCCTCCCCCCTGTCCCTCCCCTCCCCCTCCCTCCCTCCCCCTCCCCTCTCCCTCCCCCTCCCTCCTTCCCCCTCCCCTCCCCCCTCCCTCCCTCCTTCCCCCTTCCTCCCTCCCTCCCTCCCTCTCCGTGTCTCTCTCTCTGTCTCTCTCTCTCTCTCTTTGGCGTAGAGTTCCTAAGCGCATTATTTTCTCCTAAAGAAAAAAAAAGCTGCTTCTATTAGCTTGTTCTTTATAGTCTCCAAAGCCAGGGCTTTAGAATTTGCCTTTTACAAATTTTGATTCCAATACCCCCAACCTTGTCGGCAGCTTTCTTAGCTGGAACATTTCCGGGTAAAGAGCCTGGCAATGTGCCTGACGCTCTGGGAGCTGGTGCTGACCATACCCTGAGGACCTTGGTCACACTAGTGGCAAGGCCTCTCTCACATCATGCCCCAAAGGGAAAGACAGAAAAAGGAAAGAAGGCATACCTTCTTCCTTCCAGGAGACCCCCAAAGTAGTACCCAGACCTTCTCCTGAGAACTTCTACTCACAAAACTTACATGCCTGGCTCCAAGAGGGACTTAAAAAAAACTACCCTAGCAGAGCACATGCCATTGGCACGCAGCTGCCAAGGAGGAAGAGACAAAGCCGATGCAGGAGCAGAGCAGGAGCAGATGTAGCAGCAGGTGCTGCTGCTCCCCAGATGTCATTCTTTGGGTTAGAAAAACTAGGTCTCCCAGCTCTAATTTCAAAGCATGTTGTCTTTCCACTGTGGCTGCACCGCCGCTTCCCACCCCAGCGTGCTCAGTGCAGGCTTGTGCTTTGAATTCAATGATGTACAGGGTCGTGTTCCTCTCCACATTGTCATACAGGCATGGACCTCACCGACAGCCTCCTCAGATTTGCACAGGAGTTAAAAGGAACCACAAGCCACGTGACTGTGATTTCCTTGGGCCGCGGCCAAGCATCTAAAACCGAAGACCTCATCATGGAGGCCCTCACGAAAAGGGAGCAGTGGGTCATCCTCCAAAACTGTCACTTAGCGGCCAAGTTCATGCCCAGGCTTCGTGCCATTGTAGAGTCGTAAGAGTTTTTATGTTTATTTGGGAGAGATCGAGTGAATTATATAAACTGTGAAATAAGACTAGACTGGGGAATGTGTGGATCCTGGGTTGGGCCAGTCAGGAGGAAACATGAGCTGTCTGGCATGTGCTTCTCTTTTGCTCCAAGCACTTGCTGGCCAACACTTTGCTTTTTACTAGCAACTCAAAGTTCTCTTAGGTATTTGCTCCCCGTCTCATCAATCACTTCTCTCCTTCCGGAGCTCTGGGTCGATGTCCATGTGCACACGATGTGTGCTTTGTAACATTCCGCGAGATCCCGCACAGCAGAGTACCTCCCATCTCTGTGTCGGTGACGATGGCCTTCGAGGCCTGTATTTCATGTCTGTTCTGCTTCCTCTGCTCAGCCTGCATTCTGTTTCTCCCAAACCAGTTGTTCGTGTGTGGTGGGGGCAGGGGGAACTGCCACAGGTTCCGCCTCCTTGTTTGCAGTGGAAATTAAGCCTTTCTTCCTTGAAAGTTGATTTCCTGTTGCTCTGAGTGAAGAATTAGCTATGAGGTGCGTCCTTAATGCTTTGAGCCACCATTTTTCTCTCTGATTACTATGTGTGGATCAAAGTCTCTTTATGCTGTTTTTTTTGTTTGTTTTTACTTTGAGTACACATAGGAAATTATGAAACCAAAATCTAACTACCTGACCTCAATTCCTAAAATCTGTTCTGATGTCATCAGTGCTAATCTCAGTGTTCTTTTAAAAATTAAGGAAGAATGGGCCTGGCGGCATGGCCTAGCAGCTAAAGTCCTCACCTTGAACTTGCCAGGATCCCATTTGGGCGCCGGATCTAATCCCGGCTGCTCCACTTCCCATCCAGCTCCCTGCTTGTGGCCTGGGAAAGCAGTCGAGAACGGCCCAAAGCTTTGGGACCCTGCACCTGTGTGGGATACCTGGAAGAAGTTCCTGGATCCTGGCTTCGGATCAGCATAGCATTGGCCGTTGCGCTCACTTGGGGAGTGAATCATCGGACGGAAGATCTTCTTCTCTGTCTCTCCTCCTCTCTGTATATCTGACTTTCCAATAAATAAATAAATCTTTAAAAAAAAATTAAGGAAGATTTACAGAGAAGCAGAGAGAAAGAAGGGGTAGATTCCATCTGCTGGTTTACCCCCCAAGTGCCTACAATAGCCAGGGTTACGCAGATCTCCCATGTAGGTGGTAGGGCACCAAGTCCTTGGACCTTCCCCCATGCATTAACAATTAACTATATGGGAAGTAACACAGCCAGGACTCAGACTTGCACTCTGATATAGAATGCAGGTGTCCCGATCAGCAGCTTAACTTGCTATGCCACAACACCCACCCCTAGACTGTTATTCTTGTAGCAGTGTAGTCTTAACTTCATGTTTTCTCTGATTCACATTTCTGTTACCACTTCCGAGAGTCAGAGATGAAGGCCAGTTGTCTGATTTCAGTAGATGTCAACTTGGGAAATTGACGTTATAGTTTCTACCACATCTTGCTTTCATTGTTCATTCGAAGGTGGTGCTAAAGCATTTGCTATTTCCCAACTATCGCTAGATACACAAAGCGTGGACCAGACAAACACCAAAGCAGCTTTCATAGATTATAGTAAGGTAGAAGGACATGGGGCCAGCACAGTCGCTCAACAGGCTAATACTCTACCTACAAGTGCTGGCATCCCATTTAGGCAATAGTTTGTGTCCTAGCTGCTCTACTTCCCTTCCCATAAGCTTTGTGCTCATGGCCTGAAAAGCAGTAGAAGATGGGCCTGAACTTGCCTGGGCAACCCAGGAGAAGCTCATGGCTTCAGATACACTTAGTTCTGGCCATTCTGGCCATTTGGGGAGTGGACCAGTGGCTAGAAGGTATTTCCCAATTTTTAACCTTTATCATTTCACATATACATATGCACATAAAATATTTTGTGAATTATTTGCATGCAAATTATACACATGATGCCACTGAACCCTTAATACCTGAAAGTAGTCATCTTTGGTCTTATTTAGTGTATTGTCCCAGTATCAAGAGGCCCATGGTATGTATCAGTTGTCTCATTACTGGGCACAGCAATTTTGATCAACTTTACCCTTATGGAGCTTGTGCGGATCTCAAACTTTCACTCCAGGATTACTTCTAACTTTATAATGATCTGCTAGAAGGAGGCATTTCCTTCTCTCCCATTTGTTTACTTGTTGATTGTTTACTCAGGATGGATTTCTTGATCTCAGTTTTATTCAGATGATTATGTTATTGTCATTTATTTTGATATTTAGTTACTCCATATTTGACCAACAGAACTTGTAAGTTTTATTTTTCCTTAAAACAGACTAATTTTTATTGGAAAGGCAGATTTACAGAGAGAAGGAGAAACAGAAAAAGATCTTACATCCACTGGTTCACTCTCCAAATGACCACAATGGCTGGAGCTGAGCCAATCCAAAGCCAGGAGCCAGGAGCTTCCTCCCGGTCCCCACACAGGTGCAGGGTCCCAAGGCTTTGGGCCATCTCCCACTCTTTCCAAGGCCACAAGTAGCAAGCTGGATGGGAAGTGGAGCAGCCAGAACATGAACCAGCACCCATATGGGATGGTAACACTTGCAGGTGGAGGATGAGCAAATTAACCCATTGTACCAACCCCTCTTTGAGTTCTTACTTTGACTTTTTTCTCTCTCTGTGTGTGTGTGTGTGTGTGTGTGTGTGTGTGTGTGTGTGTGTGTATTGCTTTTTGTCCTCTATGAAGGAAAAGCTGCTTTTCTAAAATGAGAATTAATGTGTCTTTGGCAAATTCTTGTATAATGTGAAAGCTCCTATGGTAGTAAGATCTTTACTACCAAAATGATGTAAAGGTCACTTTAGACATTGAAATGAATAACTCTAAGGACATGGAGGTTTTGTTTAAAACTTTCAACTTAAAATATTTATAAATGGTTTATTTTACAGACTTAATGTTCCAGATATGAAAATAGATCCTGAGTTTAGACTGTGGCTAATCTCCAAATCAGACAGTTGTATCCCAATTCCTATTCTTCAAATGGGTGTGAAGGTAAGAACAAAATGTTACAGATTCTGATACTGAGAAACTGTGTTTGAGTGTGAATCATCTTCTGTTCATACTTCTCAATTAAGACAAGACTGCTGATTCTGGTGTGCTAGATGCACACCTTCTGACCTCCTGGACCAGGGACCAGGAAGGAGGCTAAAGCAGAAGAGATCTCTGAAGTAATTCACACCTTAGATGCTTGTTTTCTCAGATGAGGGTGATGGGGCCCCAGCTGTTAGAAACCAAGCGGATCCTGTCCATCCTTTTCCTGACTACACTTCGCTAGCTTTTTCTGATTTCAGCCTACCTTCACCATCTTACAGCTCACCAATTCCCTTGAAAAAGTCTAGCAGAGAATAAGCTGAAACTAAGTATTAAAAAGTTCCCACTAATGATTATCTGACTTCTACTTCTATCCACCACCGAGGTTGAAAAAGTTGCAAGACTTAGTCAATTCTGCTCAGCATGGGCCCAGTGAACCGAAAGATGGGATCCTGGTAGCCAGGAAGACTAGGTAGTGATGGAGACAGAAGGCTGTGTCCCAATTCAGGAGTGCTTGCACACTTCCAGTGTGAACAGACGTGTGCTAAGGAGGGAGGGAAGTGAGTGGAGGGGGCTGCAGCCTGAGAATCAGTCAGACTGGCTCTTGGGAAACCAGGGGTCTTCTCCCTGTCTCTGTTCCCAGATCTTGATAATCCTAGCGAGATGGACGACTTTGGGCCACCTTCCCGGCAATCCCTCTCGTGGGGCACAGAGCACAGATCATAGGAGTCAACAGCTCTTAGCATGAAAGTTGGGATACCCCCTGTGTCTCCCAGAGTCAGCCAGAGTCTGATCTCAGAGCGGGGACTGTGGTGTACACACCGGGGGTGGAAGAGAGACAGGCGGCAGAGAGAGACAGGTTACCTGTCTGCCATCAGTCCATTGCCCTCACCACCTGTCTGTGCCCATCAGTGTCTGCATTTTTAAAGTGGCTCTAATTAGTGCATGCCTAAAACCTTATGGGATTTTTAAAAATATATTCCTATCTATATAGATAGACATGACAATTTCCTTAATGTGTAAATAAGAACATCTACAAAGGAAAATGTCACTCAGTGACTCCTCATTGCCCAGCTGGCCAAAATGCTATGCTTCCCAACCCTGCCTGTACTCCCAGCAGACAGGAGCACTTGTAATCACACTGATACACCTCTGGCTTTAAAATATAAATCAGAACGCCATGGAAAGTCTGGAGGCAATCCTGGAAGTTGTCAAACAGCTAGAGATGAGCGTAGGATCTTTGATTTGCCAGTGAATCCTGAAAGCTGTTCTGTTCTCTGCTGCTTCTGTCGCGGATGCTCCGGAAGGGAAGAGCCCCCTCTGCACCCAGCCCCCACCCCCGCCCTCCCTTACTGTTTGTTTGTTTCTCACCTCTGGTTCAAGATTACCGTGGATCCTCCTCAGGGACTGCAAAGTAATTTGCTTCAGACATTTGGCTACAGTGGGAATGGAGAAATAACGGAAGAAATGTTCGAAAAACCTACCTGTGGACTGCAGTGGAAAAAGCTGTTATTTACCATGTGTTTTATCAATGCGGTGATCAATGAACGGAGGAATTATGGGACATCCGGCTGGAACATTGCGTACCTGTTTAGTCCCTCGGACTTGGAGGTAGGGAGTGCCTCTTCAGGACAGGTGACAGTATGACACAGACTGGAGGCCGATACACATCCGCAGTTGCCTGGTGTTCTGTATGGCAGAGAGAAAATGGACTTGGTAGTTAGGAAACACAGGCTGGTTTTTAAAACCAGAGACTTGGAAGCCAACCTTTCTGGAACCAGAGTACAGCTGCCCTCCTGATGGTTAGACCAATGTTTTAATCTGTTAGGAAAGCTGATTAACCTCTCCTAGGTCTTAGTTTTCTTAACCAAATAACTGGAAAAATAGTCAACACACACAAGCACACGCACACACACACAAGAAGGTATTGTTTGCAGTACAGTAAACAGGCAAATATTTATATAAAAAACCCTTACATTGTAACAAGAAAAAGACGAACAATATTCAGAAGAGCAAATCTAAATGTTCAAGTCCGGTTGCTGTATTTCAGCCCCAGCCCTGTGCTAATGCACCTGGGAAAGCAGCAGTTGGCCCATGTGCTTGGTAGCTCCAAGGGAAGCTCTGGGCTCCTGCTTTGGGCCTGGACCAGCCATAGCCACTGTGGCCGTTTTGAGAAGTACTTCAGTATGTGGAAATCTTTCTCCCTGCCACCCCTTCATTCTGCCTTTCAAGTACTTTAATACTTTTTAAAGATGCTCAACATAACTAGTATCAGGTGAACAAACAGCAAGGTGCACCTGCCAGGCTAGTACATCGCACTCAGAGTCAGCCCCGAGGATTCAGAAGGGATTGGCTCCAGGAAAGCCTCAGCACAGCCTCTGCATCCTCACGTCTCTCATATGAGACAATATCCTACTTGTATACAACTCACATATATCCTCCCACATCTTTAAATCATCCCAGGCACTTGTTAGCCCTCGTATAATATAGGTGGGTGTCACTCTGTACTATTTAGGGAATGACAGCAAGGCCAAAAGGCTGTGCATTTTCAGAACAGGTGTGATGTGGCTCAAACATTTTTCCATCTTTGGTCGGCTGAATCCACAAGTGCAGAACCCTAGTGGCGAGAGTGACAAGGGTCGCAAGGAATGCTGACCCCATGGTGAGAATAGAATCGTGGAAGCCACTGGCCTACAGCCAAAATGCAGTATCCAAATACAGGATAACATGTATGCCAGGCTAGTGTTTGTGCGAGACAAGAAGAAGATGGACAGGAATAGAGGGAAAGATGAGAAACAATTCCAGGACACAGTGAGAATAGGGAAGGAGAGAGAAGGAGGGGAGATGTGCATTAAATGACACAGGCACCCTAGGGTTGGCACTGGGATGGTGGTTTTAAGGGTGAGGATTTAATGGGTAGAATGCATGGCTAGGGAAGCTGAAAGAAATTCACTTCCCTTGTTTATCCTTTTGCACGTTTTGAATTCAGAACCAGATTTTTGTTGTTGAATCAGAGAAGTGATAATGATTGGAAAATTCTGGTTCAACTACAAAAGAAAAAACAATTACTAAAAGCATATTTCCTAAAGTGTTTAATCCTCTTGATATTTCAATATGTTTGTAAAAGAGTACATATAACCATTTGAGAGTTATTGATTGTTATCAGAGTAAGCCCCAGATGCAAGCTGAAATAGTAATGGTCAATTGGGTTTTCCAAAGGTTGCCACAAAAGTGCTGGAAGACATCCTGAGCCCATGGTCTGCGGTTCCCTGGCCAGCCCTACACTACCTGCTGGGGGAAGTGGTGTACGGTGGCCAGGTGACAGATCCCTGGGACAAGCGGTGCCTCACGACCCTTCTTGACAGATTTTGTACACCAGAAGTACTGAAAGAGGACTTCAGCTTCTCTTGTGATGAGGTAAGAAAAGTCATCTCATTTCACTTCATTATTTCTTACTGAATATCACTGCATTATTTAACATGTAAATAATGTTTACATCTTACATAAATTGCAATGTTTAATGCATTTTATGAACTTGAAGTACAGGATTTATATATATATGTGTGTATATATATATATATATACATACATATATATATATACAAACTCTGACAAGCAGAGTTTGAGAGAAAAAGAGTGAGATTTTCCATCCACTGGTTCCCTCCCTGGAGGGCTGAGGCTGTCAGGGATGGGCCAGGTAGAAGCTGGGAGTCAGAACTTCATCTGGGTGTCCCACAAGGCTTCAGGGGCCCAGGTGCTTGAACCATCTTCTGCTGCTGCTTTCCCAAGTGGTTAAATCCTCACCATATGTAAGCACCAGAATTCCATATGGTTCGTGTCCCTGCTGCTCCATTTCCCTTCCAGCCCCTTGCTTATGACCTGGGAAAGCAGTAGAGGATGCTCCAAAGCCTTGGGACCCTGAACCCATGTTGGGAGATTCAGAAGGAGCTCCTGACCCCTGGCTTCAGATATGCTTAGTTCTGGCCATTTGGGAAGTAAACCAGTGGCTGGAAGACATTTCTCTCTGTGTCTCCTTCTCTCTCTATAAATCTGACTTGCCTTTCCAATAAAAAGTAAACTAAAATAAATCTCTTTAAAAAAAAAAAAAAGATAAAATTACTAGGGTTGGTATTGTGGTACTGTGGATTAAGCCAATGTGTGTGACACCAACCTTCCATACAAACACTGGTTCCAGTCCCAGCTGCTCCACTTCTCATCCAGCTCCCTGCAGATGCACCTGGGAGACAGCAGAAGCTGTCTCACATGCTTGGACCCTGCCATCCATGTGGGAGTTCTGGATGGAGTTCCAGGCTCCTGGATTCAGTCTGGCCCACTCCAGCCTTTGCTGTTTAGGGCATGAACCAGCAGATGCAAGACTCTCTGCCTTTCAAATAAATAAATCTTTTTAAAATAATCTTTTTTTAAAATAACAAATGTGGCGTGGCAAGTAATAACACAGGCATCCTACATAGGTGTGAGTTTGAGACCCAGCTATCCCACTTCCCATTCAGCTCTCTGCTAATGTGCCTGGGAACGCAGTGGAAGATGGTCCTGCCACCTGCGCCCCTGTACCCCTGTGGAGGACCCAAGAAGCTTCTGGCTTTGGGTAGACTCTGCTCTAGCTGTTGCAACCATTTTGGGATGAACCAGCAAATGAAAGATCAATCTCTCTCTCTCTCTTTCTCTCCCCCCTTTCTTACTTCCCTCCTTCTCTTTCTTTCTTTCTCTCTCACTCTTCATCTTCCTCTCTCTTTCTCTCTCTTCCCCCTCCCTTTATCTCTGTAACTGCCTTTCAAATAAATAGAATGAATCTTTGAAAAGTAACAAATAAGTAGGTTTACTATTGGAAAATCCTTTAAATCCTCCAGAAAGTACAGTGTATATCAGATTATGTGTAACTGAGTAGGATGTACAGTAACATAGCATACACTTGCATTGTGAGAATTATATCAGATGACAAAAATGTATATTCTGCAGTCACTGACTTCCAACTTAAAAACAGGCACCGAGACTGACAAAACTACTGAGAACTCCCACCCACTGGTTCACTCTCGAATTCCCACAATAGCCGAGGCTGGGCTAGACAAAGCCGAGGCACCTCAATCTAGCTCTCCCAGAGTGGCAAGGACTCACCTAATTGTACCATCATCTCTGTTGCCTCCCTGGTACACGTTCCCAGGAAGCTAGAATCAGGACCAGGAGTCCAGTGCAGGCACCCTGATGTGGGATCCGGGCATCATGACTGCATCTCTTTTTTATTATTATATTTTGGTAATCTTTACATTGTTGATTAGGGTAAAAAGTTACAAGGGCTGAAGAAAATATTGAGGAGAAGCCCTACCCAGTTTCCTACCCACCCCATGTCCCGGATGTAGGGCATGCTCTGAGATCCTTGCTCAAGTGGTCCCAATAGTTCACCTGTTATGCACCGCTGCCAATCTCGCCACTCCAGACACGATGATTTAATAATCGACTGATTGACATAGCCGATCACAGAGTCTCCCTTTGTCCAGTGTTTAGCTGCCAACATATAGCTGTGGTGGTTGATTGACCTGTTCTTTCGTCTTTTCTTTGTTAAGGTTCTGAGTCTGCCGTTTTGATTGAGTGGATTCCCAAAGAAACTTTGAGGTGTTCCCAGACCAGACTCCTATATGTACTAGCAAGTACAGGGTCCACCACAGTCCATCTCCCTGATCAGCTGGTGGTTGCAATTGCTGGGTTGGTTCCTTCTTCTACCCCAGCTTTCACTGGAACCAATGGGTATTACAGTCTATCCTGGTTCTGCTCCTCACATACTCGGCCATCACACAAACCAATGGGAGCTGCAGCCTAGTCAGAGTGACCCCCAATAATCCCCACCAGACCCGTCCCTGCCCTGGTTGCCAGTATGTGTAGCAGACTAGTTCAGTCTGCCCCATATCCCATTTGGCTCTCGTAAATGTCAAAGGGTATTAGTTCCATCAGACCAGCTCAACTGTCCGGCCCTCACGGATATTGTTGAGTGCCTCTCTGTCTAGCCACCCCAGCCCCTGTCCTAGTTACTCTGTGCCCTCCTATGTGAGTGGCAACCCAAGAGGGCAGAGCCCACTATTTCCCTCCCAGGTCACTCTCACTCCCGGACAATGCGCACTCCAGGTGACCCTGTGGCTGGACTTGGGAGTATCAGCCCCCAGTTCCAGCTTCTGCCATGGTTAAGCCCCGACAGCTCTCACCCACCCCAGTAGGAATAGTCCGCCCATCCTGGCTCTTACCTGATCTGGTCCACATGGGGCGCACAAGTGTTGCAGCCCTGCCTAGTCTGGTCTATCCCCATTCCAGCCCATGCTCTCCAGCGGGAGCAGCTATTGAACAAGGGAACCAGCCTTTATTCCCCTGTCGGCTCTGCCCCTCGCCTCCTGATTCTCGCGTTTTGCTGGCTGGGTGCTGCGGTCACATCTGGCACAGGTAGCCTCACCTCGGCATTCTGTGTTGTGCACTGCTCCCGCCGTGACCAAACCCGCATGACTGCATCTTCATCGTCATATCACATGCCCACTCCCACACATTTAGATTGGTTAATGACAATTCCAACCTGTTCTCTGTCCTGATCTTGGCTTCTGCAGACCATCTGCTCAGTGGCTCTGTTACGTGGGGTTTCCCTGTGGCCCTGGTTAGTCTGTCAGTGTCCTCCTTGAGCGCATCAAGGCAGCCACCACCACCCACTTCCTTGACCACATGAACTGAGTGACCTTTTCTTTGTTACTGTTCAGTTCCTCTCTGTTTTTTGTTGTTGTTGTTGTTCTTGAAAATTTTATTGACTTGAAAGGCAGAGTGGCAGAAATCTTTGATTCCCAAATACCTGCACCACAGCCAAGGCTGGGCCAGGCTCAAGTCAGGAGCCAGGAATTCCATCCGGGACTCCCTCATGGATGGTAGGGGTCTCTGGCATTTGGCCTGCATTCAGCTGCCTTCCCAGATGCCTTGGCAGGGAGCTGGACCAGGAGGAGAGCAATGGGAACCCAAGCAGGCATGGCCAGCAGCTGTTACCCTTAGTACTGTGTCAGCCCCAGTGGTCTGCTAAGGTCATGTGCACATTCTTTCTGTGGTCTTTAGTAAAATACAATTACTTATTCAAAGTTCATTGCATCCATTACCAACACATACAGTTCACTGGAGCAAGGAGTGGTCAGAATTATCCTAGTGTCTTTTTTTCTCTTTCTTAATAAATCATGTATGTATCTCATATATACTTTATTCTTCAGTGATCCAGATGTTACCTTTGACAGACTGTCTACATGGCATGCAAGCCTCCTGTATCATAAAGCTTCACAGGGGAAAAATGCTTCAGTATTTCTGAAGATATATGCATTACTGGAAGTAGTTATCTCACCTGCGCCAACACTGACCCAGTGGTTACATTTGCAGACGTGTCAGCACGTGCCACAGTCAGCCAGCCTGGGGGACTGCATCCGCGTCATCCAGTCCTTACCCGTCGAGGACCCTCCCGAGGTCTTAGGGGTGCACCCTGAGGCCTCAAGGAGCTACAGGGAGACCCAGGGCCAGCAGCTGCTGGAGACCCTCATCACCATGCAACCGACAGTACCCACTGCCTGCCTGGAGGCCAGGTAAGAGTCCAGTGCGACAACCTAGTGGAAGGTGGTTCACTGTTGATTGGAAGAAATAAAGTACAAAACTTGCCCTGTGTCTGGAGAGCCCGTATGCCTGCTAGTGCAAAATCACACGGCCTGAGCCCTCAAGGGTTTGACTGCCAACTGGAGGCCCTCACCATGCCCTGCCCTACAAAACGTGCTCCAGCTGCTCAGTAGGCATCCTCTGCCTGGTTCAAACCCCAGCCCTCCACTCCATTTTGGGAGCCCCAGGAAGTCAGTGACCTCTTTCTGGCCACAGCGCCTCATCTCTGACTCACAGATAACAATGGTATCCACCACACATAACTGTTCTGAGAGTCCAGCGAGTTCCTTATGTGTTGAAATTCAGTGTAGAAATCTCACCTTTAAATGTGTATGTCTGACAGGCTTTAATGATCGCCTTTTTTGATAGAACATGCCCAGAACTGATTGAGTTTCTTTAGAACCACCCCCGCCCCCAAACCTGGGTCTACTTGCCTGACCCACAGCAAGCCATTCCTTGATGCTGGGGCAGTGGAAGAAAGCAGGTGTTCCTTGTGAAGAGCAAGGAGACAGGCAGCTAGTGCATCTAGCCCCCGACTTCCCAAAGGACCACAGGCAGTGAACTTGATGGTCAGTGTGTGGGTGGGCATCTGGCTGGTGCACGGGGTGCAGGCCCTGCCTGTGACTGGTCAGTGATAGGGATGGCAAAGGTTGGCTCCAGCCTGCTGGCTTTCAGTGTGGACTGGGTATTGCTTCCTTCAATCAGGGCCCAGCAGGCTCTGTTTGAGCTGTTGACTGCAGGGAAAGTTCCAGTCCTTGTGGCTTAGAGTGTTCAGAGTCTTACGGAGGAACTTGAGGGCAAGAAAGTGAACAAAGGTTCCCTTCAACTTCAGAAGGATTTCCAGTCATGTTTGGACCACTTGTAAACCTAATCAAATGTTTGCTGATGTGCTGCTACTCATTATCAAGTTAATGTATTCGATAATCTGCCAGTTTTCTATAAATGTAATCATTAAGTATGGTGAGTCTTAAAAATCCCTAATATTTCATAACAATTTCACTAGATTTGTACCTTCATCATAAATTCAAATCAGATTCTAAGTTATTCCAACTTGGAGCCGAAGGCTGACCTGTAGGCATAAAGGGGTAGATGGAGGCAGGCAAAGAGGATGCACATGACATGTGTCCATTCCCTCCTCCTCCCGTGTCCACGGAGGTCCCGCCAACGCCACCGCCTCGGAACCTCGTTTCCTTCTCTTTAAACGAATTCCACTGCCGTTCCTCCACTTCCGGTGCTTCATGTTTTGTTGGGTAGCACAGCCTCAGCCACCCCAGCCACGTTCCAGACGCTGTCTGCCCGTAGCCCCCGCTGCGTGTGTTACCAGGAACCCCCTTGCATGTGCAGCAGACTCTGACGCGCCCTTGGACAAGCTCTTGACCAGTCCCGCCTGTGAGGCTGCACGCGCACCTTGCTTTGTCCAGTTGCCGACGCCTCGATCTCGGGCCCTCCTTCATGCAGCTGGATTCAAACGAGTGTTTTTTGCGAAGAACTCCTAAGACAGCTAGCAAGGATTGTGTTTCCTCACAATGACTTTATCCATTGAGATAAAGTCAACTTTGGGGTGTGTCACCTTGTCCCCATCCTAGTTTTGTGCTTCGTGGAAGCCCTGTTGGCTTCGAGATCAGACACACGTCTCCTCCTCCTCTGAATTCCTTTTGCAGTGTGAAGCAGAGTAATGACAGGCTGGTGACAGACATGGTGCGGGACCTGCTGAGGCGGCTGCCGCTGACCGTGGAGAAGGAAGAGCGTGCCAGCCCCCAGAGCACACTGAAGGGCATCATGGCAAGCCCCATCTGGGAGAGCCTTTGTGCCAACCGCAGCGGTAAGCGTGGACTGGGCTGCCTGCCCTTCCCTCAGCCCCCTGGGGAAGCCAGTGAGGCCCACTCAAGGTGGAGAGCTAAACTCGAGTGCCTCTCTTCAAGCTGGGAAGATGAGGAGGAGCAGAGAGGATGGTTCTGCAGGGTGAGGGGAACGTGGACAGCATGGGGATGCTGAGGAAGAACATGGAGAAGCAGTGACTGCCGTAAACCGGAGAGGTAGCGGCTCGGCTTGGGGAGCCACGAAGCTCTGCCCACAGGGGGCTCCAGACCTGGCTCTGAGGGGCTAGGTGGGCATACTACGGTCCTGAACCCAGGTAAATTTGAATGCACGTGTTCTAACTCTTTAGTAAAATGCATCCTGGAGTCCCGTGTCGAGCATTAGGCATCACAACGCAGTCTTGAGCTGCACCGTGACACGGAGTCCGCAGTGGCTCACACACGTGCTGGTGGTTCCAGTGGTGACAGCACAGCTGTATGAACGTGTGCGCTCTGTAATGCTGGTCAGGGAAGTGGCCTGCCAGCGCTTGTAGGCCTGCACCCATCATCAGACAGTGCAGAGGGTAGCCTGCTGCTGTCTGGGTGTCGGTCAAGGATCGGCAAGTTAGGCTGCGCGTCCAGCCCTCCACTTGACTGTGCACAGCCTGCAAGCCTACATGGTGTTGCGGGTCTTGCTCGTGAAAAAGTTGAAGAGGGATAATACTCATAATACATAAATGTCATGAAATTCTAGTTTTAGTGCCCACAAATCGTTACTGAGAGATAGCTCAGGCCCGTGGGTTTACGTATGATCAGTGGCTGTGCTTGTAGGACAGGGGAGAGCTTGGTAACTGTGACACAGACAGCACGGCCCAACACCGTGGAGTGTCTGCTCTCTGGCCTTCTACGGAAATACAAGTTCATGGAAATGCCTGTAGCGATCTGACCGCATTCCTTGGCCTTCCGAAGCCCAGGTCCACCGTGAAAAGCCTTTCGTTTGCCTCTGAGATATCAAGCTTTCCCCTTTACCCCCTTGTCTTCGTTCAGGCCGTGATACCCCTGTGCGTTATGCTTTGCTGACCTGCCTGAGGCAAGAAATCGAACGATTTGATAAGCTGTTGTTTGTCATACATACATCTTTAGAAGATCTTCAGCTTGCTATAAAAGGCAAGATCATCATCACCCAAGAACTGGAGGAAATCTATGACTCTCTTCTGAATGTGCGGGTTCCCCCATTGTGGCAGGTAAGCAGTTAGTACTTCCTGGCCACTTGTTTGCTTAAAATACACGTCCAGTTTCCAGGGAATGGCCAAGTTCACCACGGCGCATCCGTGTTGTATTAAGTAACCATTAAGCAATGCCAACATAGTTTTGGCATGATTATGTATCTTAAAACTTCTTAGACAGTAATTTGGTAATTGTGCTTAATTTATGGGCATGTTTATCACAGGAGTGTCTAAATAGCATAAGGTTGAAAACAACTGGAAGGAAAGAATCCGGCTACTTAAGCCGTAGTGGACTCAAATAATGAAGTGCATGCTGGTAGAGAACAATCTTCAAGATGTGTTGGTAAATAATGTAGTTTCAGCAAAATACAGTATTTTTAAGGATTATTAAAACATAGGGGCCCAGTGCAGTAGCCTAGTGGCTAAAGTCCTCACCTTGCATGTGCCAGGATCCAGTGTGGATACCAGCTCGTGTCCCAACTGCTCTACTTCCCTTCCAACTCCCAGCTTCTGGCCGGGAAGGGCAGTCGAGGACAGCCCAGGGCCTTGGGATCCTGTACCCATGTGTGAGACCTAGAAAAAGCTCCTGGCTCCTGGCTTTGGATCACCTCAGCTCCAGCCATTGCAGCTACTTTGGGGAGTGAGCCAGCAGACTAAGGATCTTTCTCTCTGTCTCTCCTTCTCTGTAGATCTGCCTTTCCAAGAAAAATAAATGTTTGGTTAAAAAAATAATAATAAGTAATTAAATAAAAACATAGATATATTTATATAAGACATGCATGCGTAGGAAGCACATACGTTTGAGATTCCAGAAACCCAAATAAAAGTGCTGGGGGAAGAAGAGGAAGCGCTCGGGAGCGGTGACTTCCTGTGCCAAGGCAACGTCAGGATCTCGTGTGGGACAAGAGGCTTTCCCCTCCCATTTCATTTTATAGTATCTAATTGTGCTATCCTGATTTTTTACCATCTTCATATTTTTATTAGTATAAACATCCAAGTGTTTACCAACACTGTATACTTGTCCTCAGCTGCTTGGACCAACCTTTTAAAGCAATTAAAAAGGCTTGATTAAAAACTTTGAGTATCACGAAATATATCGAAGAGCTAAATGATAGCTGCTAAAATCAACAGGTCAAAACTTAAAGCAGGAACTGAGAAAGTCAGGGAGAGGAGGGAGATTGGTCTGGCAGCTCCAGTGCTGCTGGGGCAGCCCTTTCCTGTGATGGAGTGCTGGCCTGGAGCTTAGCTGCAGCTTCCTGCTAACGCACAGCCCAGGAGGCAGGAGGCCTGAGCTCAGATGGCGCTCTGCCACCCGCAAGACAGACCTCTGCTGAATCCCTGGTTCTCAGCTTCCACTGGGGCCAGCCATGGTTACTGTGGGTATTTGGGGGTAAAACAGCAAAATAGGAAGAGTTCAATCTCGCTTTTTTTTCCAAAATTTATTTATTTTTACTGCAAAGCCAGATATATAAAGAGAGGAGGAGAGACAGAGAGGAAGATCTTCCATCTGTTGATTCACTCCCCAAGTGATTGCAACGGCCAGAGCTGAGCCAATCCAAAGCCAAGAGCTCTTCCGGGTCTCCCACACGGGTGCAAGGTCCCAAGGCTTTGAGCTGTCCTCAACTACATTCCCATGCCGCAAGCAAGGAGCCGGATGGGAAGTGGGCTGCTGGGATTAGGGCCAGCACCCACATGTGATCCCATAGCGTTCAAGGCCAGGACTTTAGCAGCTAGGCCACTGCACCAGGCCCAGTCTCTCCCTTTTTTAAAATTCTGCATAGTATATACAAAATGTTTTGCCGCAAGGGAATTTGCTAGTTCTGATAAAACAATGGCATAGTCTTGGGTTTCTGTTAAGAGGAAAGGGGGAACAAAAGCCAATCCTAAATGCCACTGCAGGTAGAGAATCTGATAAGCAGCACACACCTCACACATGATTAGCACCTCATATTAACATTGGCCTAGAAGCAAGTCCCCTGCTCCTCACCTCCATGCTCCACATCCCAATGAGCACAGAGTTTAGGAAAGGGAAAACAAATAAAGCAAAACAGAACACCTGCACTTGCATCCCAAATATTGCAGAAAATACATCTGTGAAAGTACTTGGGAAATTTGTCAGGAAGAAGAGCATTCCAGCCCAGGCCTCGGGGAGTTGTACAAATATTGTGCAAAGAGAATGGAGCCTCCCTGAAAACAAGGCACCCCGCTTGAGAATCCCAGGGGAGATGAGGATGACAGAGTGACCTCACACGCTTCTGAGGTCTGAACGATGAGCGTGGATTACAGCATAAAATGCTTGAAAGAACAGAATTAAACAAGTGACATGTCGTCAGGGAACAGGCAGCTGGGACAGATGACAGAGCAGATCTGGATGAGAATGAAACAGGGCTTCCAGAAATGAAGAGCAATAAAATGCAGTGGACAGGTGTGCCGGAAGATGGCATGGACATCGCTACAAAGAAGCAGACCTGGAAGATAGATGACAAGAATCTGCCCAGAGCACAGCCCCAAGAGACGGAAGGATGGGAAAGGTAGAGGTGCTGCTAGGATGCAGAGAGCAGAGCGAGGCAATCCAGCCAGCTGGGGTGGAAGCTCAGAGGCGGGAAATTGCTGGGCCACACACTACTTACAGGGACCGGGCTGCTAACTCCACTATTCAAATAAATAAATTAAATAAATCCTCTTTTAAAAAACTCATGTCCTGGGCCAGCACGATGGTTTACCTGGCTAATCTTCTGCCTGCAAGTGCCAGCATCCCATATGGATGCTGGTTCGTGTCCCAGTTGCTCCACTTCCCATCCAGCTCCCTGCTTGTGGCCTGGAAAAACAGTTAAAGATTACCCAAGACCTTGGGACCCTGCACCAGCATGGGAGACCCAAAAGAGGCTCCTGGCTTTGGATTGAATCTGCTGAGCTCTGGCCCTTGTGGCCACTTTGGGCATGAGCCAGCAGATTCTTTCTCTTTCTCTTAGTAACTCTGCCTTTCCAATAAAAATAAATCTTTAAAAAAAAGTGAATAAAAACTGGCACTGCCTCTTCTGCCTGGGCTTCCTTTGCAACACACGAGTGAGACTGAGTAGGGTGGCTTGCATATTTAAGGGGAATGGCATGCTAGTAAAAAAAAGAGAAGGTCAGAAAGCTGAAGCTATGGACGAGTGACGTTGTCCTGGAAGGGCCGCTGGGCTGGTGCTGCTCACCCCTGGGGGTGGATGGGTCTCTGATTCTGTGCTCTGCTGGGAAATGGCGCCTTCCTGTGCAGCCGCAGCTCCCGGCAGAGGATCCCCAGTCTGCAGAAACATTCCCAACCATCCCAATCTTCAAAATCTGTCCTATGTGTCTCTCCGTTCCAACAGAAACACGCCTACGATTCGCGTAAAGCCCTGAGTTCCTGGATCTCTGATCTCATCCGGCGACTGAAGTTCTTCGGTACCTGGGCCACCAAGGCTTTCGCTGCGATACACAGTCGGTATGCCCGAGAGCTGCTTCTCCCTGGTTGGTGTACACAGCTCCACCAATCCCAGGCCTGATCCCTTTGTGTGCTCCTGGTGGCATGTGTGCCTAGCAAGGGAGGGATTCTCAACTGGGTTTAGGATGAGGAAACTCAGAGACTTCAATGAGCAGCCTCAGGCCCTGTCACTCTGCTCTGGGAGACTGAGAGGATAGAACCTGGTGTGTTTCTCCTGCCGTTTTTCCCATCGTGTGCTGAAAATCCAGCAGGGAGCAGCAGGGAAGGAAATGATGAACAGTTCACGTAGTTCTCGAGTGCTTTGTGTCATAATGAATTTAGCGTGGAAGACCACGAGAGGCAGACACTGCCAGGTGCCTAGTGGTGCGGCATGCATGGTTGAGAGAGGACTGTTCCCACCAGATCGCTTCACTTCCCAGTGGTTCTGATGTGCAGTAGCGTTAGCAGCAGCCCTAGTGTAGAGCTGGGGAAACTGAGGCACCACGGCTTCCGGTGGCTCATCCAGGGTATCACTGCTCACAAGTGGCATTGATGAGATTTGAACCCAGACTGTCTGGTGCCCAGCCTGGCCCGGGCTCTGTCTTTGGTACCTGAGCTGGAAGGGAGTTTGGAACACAGAGTAGATACAGACACCTGACATGAATGTTTAGGGGTCCTCCTAGAGGAGTTTGTGAGATCCCCTGCAACTGTTCCCCCCAGCTGTCATTGCCTCACTGGTCACCCAAGTGGCAAGCAGCCCAGTGATCCTGCTTTTGCATCCCCCTCCCCAGAGGCAGGAGTCCTGACCGGGAGGCAGTTGGGCTGAAGTGTGAAAGAGAACACTGGGAGGGACAGGGAGACACTGCCAGGTCTCAGGGCTAACGGCCCGCGTGTGGGTCCGCCTTTCAACAGGTCCATGAGCTCTGTCTCGTCTCGGTCGCTGTCTGTCCCGTTATCTAGCCAGACCTCCAGACCCAGAGCTGACCCGGGAAGCAGCTCCTGTGAAGGGTTTCCGGCCCGATACTGGCTGCCCGCTTTCTTCTTTCCGCAAGGTGAGTGTGAGCACAGCAAGGCCCAGGCAAGGCTGCCCACGGTCCCCCTGCTGCCACTGCCGCTGCCCTCCTCTGCTTCAGAAGGAACCCAGACAGCGACCCCTGCGTCCCCACGGCCTCTGGCCTGCACTAGGATAGACTCTCTGCTTCCTCCGCCTACCTCCTCCCCCACCCCATCTCCTCGCATCCCCAGACAGGCCACTCTGTGCCTTGGCAGGTCCTTTGCCCGGCTCTCAGCCATGGAGTCTGCACTAGATCAGTACTAGACCCTCCCACCACAAAAGGCCTGTGCGGGGAAGTGGGGTTGGGTGCCTTCTTATGAACTTGATTCTATGCCGTGGCTAATCAGGCATGGATCCCTGTACCAAGACTGGGTGCCTGAATGTGTGCTGGGGCCTGGATTTGCCTGCTCAGCACAGTTGTCCAGCAGACAGAAATTACCAGAGAGAGTTCCAACAGTCTGTGGTCAGTCAGTGTCAGGGGACTTGTCCAGAGGCCACCTTGGACTTCAGGCATCAGGTCTGTATGGCTCACTGTGTGTGTCTAGCACTTAATGTAGCTTCCAACACCAAGAAAAACTATTTGAAAAATGAATGAGTGGCTTGCTGAATTCAAATATGAATGAATCAATATTTAAGGGCATAAAACAAGGGAGCCATTACCAAGGGCCAGAAGAGGCCACTACAGGAATAGCTTCAAAAAAGTTATTTAAGTTATATTTATTGGAAAGGCAGAGTTTACAGAGAGAAGGATAGAACAGAAAGATCCTCCATCTGCTGGTTCACCCCCAAAATGGCCCCAACAGCTCCAGCTGAGCCAATCCAAAACCAGGAGCCTCCTCTGGGTCTCCCACACAGGTGCAGGGTCCCAAGGACCTAGGCCATCCTAAGCCTGCTTTCCCAGGCTACAAACAGGGAGCCAGAAAGGAAACGGAGCAGCTGGGACACGAAAGTGCCCTTATGGGATTCCAGCACATGCAAGGTGAGGACCCAGGCACTAACCCATTGCACCAGGCCCCAGAGACAACTTCTAAAATGAAACTTGAAACTTGCTGCCAGGTACAAGCACCCAAGTAGGAATGAGGAAGAGTTACCAGCACTTACATGGCACTTGTCCCAAGCCAAGCACTGTTTAGTTCTCAAGGCAATCTTTCGGCCTTGTTTCTGTAATCATCCCAATTCTCAGATACAGAAATCTTGGCACAGAACAATTAAGAATATTTTCAGGGGCCAGTGTTGTGCTGCAGTGGGCTGGACTGCCACTTGGGAGGCCAGCATCTGGCATCAGAGCACCAGGTCGAATCCCAGCTGCTCCATTTCCAATCTAGCTTCCTGCTCAAGCACCCAGGAAGGCAGCAGGTGATGGCCTGGGTGCTTGAGCCCCTGCCACACATGTGGGAAGCCTGGATAGAGTTCCAGGCTCCAGACTTCAGCCTGGCCCCATGTGGCTTTTCTAGTCATTTGACAGGTAAGACAGCAAAAGCAAGTTCATTCTCTCCCTCCTTCCCTTCCTCCCTTCCTCCCTCCTTCCCTCTTTCTCTCCTTCCCTCTTTCCCTACCTGCCTTCTTCCCTCTCCCCTCTGCGTGTGTGTGTCCTTCTGTCTGTCACATTTTCAAATCTTTTTTCTTTAATACCCAAAGTAATGCTCACTAGTTGTATGACTTTGGAGGAAAAAAAAAACCCACAAGTGACTAAGCCAATATTGCTTGACTTCAAATGTCAAATATTTAACCTCTGCCTGGGACCAGTCTTGTTAGAGAAAATCCCAGCCAGAGAGCAAAGGGGCAGAGCACGTTTGAGATGCCAGATGTTTACTGCAGACCAAGCAGAAGCCCCATGGAGGGAGGAGGATGCAGGATGCAAGCAGGAAAGATGGCAGGTCCCAGGAGCTAGGCAAGACACGCAGAGGGAATTGGCCCTGTCCCAGGGCAGCAGCAGCCCCAGAAGTGCCTGGAGAAGAGGCCATGCTGCAACAGCTGCAGGACCAAAGAGGGGGCTTGGGAAAACCAGGACGGGGTCCAGGGCCTTGGGGAAGCTGCTTTATTCTGCCAGAAGAGCTGGACTCCACATTTGGAAGCATGGGGTGTGGGGAAGGGAAGGTTGCATATGACTCTCCAGGGCCTCTGGCTTGCAGAGCTGAGTAGACACTGGCATTTCGTTAAGTAGGGAGCCGGTGAATGGGCACGAAAGTGATTAAGTTTGTGGGGTTCACATTGCCCAGTGTGGCTTTGTGTGTCTTCCTGAGAAAGACTAGCACCCTGGGTCTGGGACCCCACTCCTGGGACCAAGAGGGTGAAGTAGGATGATGAGTCAGGATGAAGTCAGAAGTGGATGGGGTGCTAGGAACTAGAGCCATAGCTGGAGGTGGGAGAACTGGAACCCCAAATAGGCTCATGCCACTGGACAGCCAGCAGCACCAGGGTAGGAGGGAGGTACAGAGTCTCAGCCCAGCCCCAGCCCCAGCCCTCCCTGACCTCACTTTCATCTCTTCTGTCTCTTGACTCCCCTCCTCAGGAGTGTGAGGGGTGGGTGTGGCTGGTCCTGCAGGAGCCCCCTGAGGCCCGAGGGCACTGATGGTATGTTTTCTCCAAAGCCTTTCTGACTGCGGTGCTCCGAGACTACGGGAGGGCTCAGGGCATCTCAGCCGACGCCCTGACCTTTACCCACCACGTGATTCCCAATGACGACACCACCAGTGACCAGGAGCTCTCCCCAGTCGTCCAGAGGGAGCTGGACAAAGTCAAGAGAGCCTTTAAGGTACGGAGTTCTTGAAAAGACAGGGAAGGGATAATCACTCGTTGGTCTGGTCATCCATTCCCCAAGCTTTGTCCCAGGCACAAAACTTCTGTTTGGCAAAGGCAAATCACCATCATGGGGTACTGGCACCTGTTGGGGTACTGGCAGCGCAGTCTCCTTTTTGTTATTTAAAATGCCTGAGCCTCACTCAAGAAAAGGCAGAGCACTCCTGAGCAGCACAAGCGGTCCTAGGGGGTGGTCCTCCAGGGTGGGCATCCACCAGGGCTCACCTGGAGCAGAATGTGGGGGTTCCCCTGCCCACCCACAGTCAGCGTTGGGCTCATCGCAAACTGAATACACAAAGTACCTCAAAAGGTCACAGAAGTGGAACTAAAAGGTAAGTTTGTTTTGATGCAAAAATCCCTGCACCTATTTTCCATGAACTAGACCCCTTTGCAATCTGAGTAACGTTCCCAAGGCCCAAGAGTCCCCAGAGACCGCCCCACCACCACCACCGTTGGGGCTGGCACTGCTGCAGTCCCAGCAGGTGCTGACTGCTTGTGGCACTGCTGTCACTCCCTCCTCCAAAAGCTTGGTGTTTTCCTGCTCGAAATGGCCTGTCACTTCAGGATCTGCTTGGTGCCCATGTAGGGGAAGCAGAAAGGATTCAACTAGGACTCAGAGACAACACACCTTGGGTGGAGATGGGCCTGTGTGAGGAGGCAGTCCAGGCGGGCAACTTCTTGCCTTGAGAACCTCTGCCTCCATTTCCCCTCCTCCTCAGGGCCCAAGCCCACCTGGCAATGGGGTCCATGTATTCGGCTTATTCCTCGAGGGAGCAAGGTGGAACCCTGAAGAAAAAACGCTGGAAGACTCGCTGCCTCTCGAGATGTGCTGTGATTTCCCAGACATATACTTTTTGCCGACCAAGGTAACTGGTCAGCCGTGTATCAGAAACTGCTAGACCACCAAGCCGTCCCTCAGGAACACAGGACCCATTCTGGTTCCTGTTTCCCACAGCTGCACAAGGGAGGGTTGATCTATTTCAGGTAACAAGCAACATTTTTAATGAATCCCCAAATGGGGTGGCTGTGGGGAGTGTAGCTACACCTGGAATGCTGGCTTCCCGCATCAGAGCACTGGTGCGAGTCGCAGCCCCTCTGCGTTAGATCCCTGTTGACACTCCCGGGGAGGAAACAGAAGATGGTCCAAGTGCATGGGGCCCCTGCCACTCACATGGAAGACCTGGGTAATTTCAGACTCCTGGTTCAGACCATTTAGGAAGTGCACCAGCAGACGTAGCATCTTTGGCATTCTTTCAATCTTAAAAAAAAAAAAAAATTAAAAAGCCTAAAATACAGCTCAAATCCAAAATAGAAGCTGTGCTTAAAGCCATTATGACTACTCAGGAATATACTCATAAAGTTATGATCATCTTTGTTTTCGAAGATATATCTTAACAGCAGTTGAAAGAGAGGTCTCTCATTTGCTGGTTCACTCCCCCAACTGATTGCAATGGCCTGGATCAGGTATGCCATATGGGTGGCAGAGGCGCAGCTCTTGAGCCATCCTCCAGTTTTCCCAGGCACCTTAGTAGAGCTGGATGGGAAGTTGGTCATGTGGGATGCCAGCAACGCAGGTGCCAGCTGAACCTGTGGCACCACAAATGCCTACTTCCATAATACTGCTGAACATTCCCCAGACATGATTTCCATATGTACTTACCATATTATAACAAATGAACAATCTTGTAACAAATTCCCTAAACCTACCTTATGCAAAACACAAGATACTGGTTTGCATGAACTACATAATTTGACTATTGGACTTTTTTCTTTTAAAAGATTTCTACAGAAACAGCAGATTCTTCAGGGCAAATGGATGCAGAGCGGTGTACTTTTGAATGCCCAGTTTACCAGACACTTAAGAGGTCCAAAGTTTTGACTACTGGTTCCCCAACTAACTTTGTAACTTCAGTGTATTTGCCAACAAAGAAACCTTCCAATCACTGGATCACAATGCAGGTTGCCTTACTGTGTGAGAATGAATGAAAAATAAACTTTGTAGTGGCAAACCATTTGAACTTTGACTCTAACAAGATTTGCATGTTTCAAGGTAGTTGGCACACTCCAGGAGAGCAGTAGTGAGTTCAGCCAGGCTGGACCCATGCAGTGTATATGAAACCTTCCCACAAAAGCAGTACTGTTCACCTTTGCCTTGGGAACCATGGCCCTAAAGGTAAGACCATTGTGTTTTAAGAACCATGACAGAAAAGAAGTGCAAAGATCTAATCCTGTCAGTGGCTATGTATGTGTGTGAAGTCTTGGTCCTTAGTGTCTTGTGTTCATGAATAGGTTAAGGACAATCTTTAAAAAAAATTGTCTTTAATTGTAAAGTCAGATTTACAGAGGAGAGGAAGATCTTCTGTCCATTGGTTCACCCCCCAAGTGACAGAATTTTAATCCAGTTATGGTGCCTGGCCTTGGTACCTTTTGGGAATTAATTCCGTTTCAGGGGTGGAGCCCTGGTCCTGGTGTTCCCATCCCTTGTTGCTTCCCAGTGAAGACTCCTTGTGGGTGCAGGAGCCACAGCAAGGTCATCTACAGGCGTCTGTCTGAAACCCACCTTGAAATAAGGCTCCAAGGTGATCAAAGCAACATTTTTATTTGCAACTTTATTTCTCACTTAAAAAGCTTGTCAAAACTAAAAACCAACTGTAGCGGAGATCCAGAAATGGCAGCATGGTGTTAACAGGCTCTCTGTTACCAGGGAAGGAATTTAATATCCTTGTCTTCTGTCAAAGCATCCTTGATGAGTTTGGTCCAGAACATGCTGGGATATCCCTTTCCAATGCCCCAAGAAAAGCATAAAACAGCTGCTTGCATATATTGGTACAGATAAATCGCCGACAATGTCACCAAAACAACGTTTGGGGATTGTAAGATGCAGACTGCTAGAGCAAGCCAACGTCATGATCACATTTACATAAGGTAAGTTACATACACTTCAAATGGCAGTGCAGGATGAACATTGCATATCCCAACGGCTCATACAGAAAATTAAAAAACCCCACATACACTATGTATTATGCTCCCCTTTCTGTAAAAGATACTGAGAGCAATTTAACTCTCAATGTAAAAGTTAAGTGAATTTGCTACTGTTCCATTAGATTGAGACTGCATCAACTTTACCAGAATTTAATAGATGTACATAAGGTAGCTTTAACTATTAAACTTACAAGACCAAAGTGACTTAAAACTAACCTCTTACATAGACAGTAAATATAAAGAATTTACAAAATACAGTATAAACTGCATGAGTTAAACAGTAGCAAAAACACTGAATTTAAAAAGTCAAAAAGGTATAAAAATATTAGCCTGAAATGGCAAAATTTTCAAATACCAATGTGTGTAAAAATGTTTAAATAATGATGTTACTTGAAAAATATATTTTTTTATTTTTTTCTATCTGCAACAGTTATTATAAAGGCAAACACACCTGCAATTGAGGTAGCAAAGCCGAATTCACAAACTTTGGAACAAGAAAAATATCCTTCCTATGTTTTAACAGCATCTTCTATACAATATGAATTGTAATTGCTTCAAATTTGTAAATTCACAAGTTATTCTATAAAACAATTTAAAATACTGAAAATGCTTTTGTTAAAGATCTTTAGTCCTGACAATCATCTCACATTCAAAATACTATACAGAAAAATCTGAAGTTACCATATATTACATAAAAGTATATGCTCTATTTACATTTTCAAATGCAGTTCTAGAAGCTGAAGTTAAGCTAACTACTACCAATGGTTTCCTTTAAACAATGTTTACTAATATCTCGCATCACTTTTCACATATAGGATTCAGCAGACCAGTTTTTAAATTTAAATCACATAATAGATGAATAAAAATGCTATTAATGCAATAAAATGTACATGTTTAATGTAACAATGTTTTTATGGAAAACCTAGCAAAAGTAAATTTTGAAGTAAATCAAAAACCAGAAAGATATTCAAGTGCATTTATAAGACTTTTGTTTTTAGATTTTTAAGGATTGAAAATTTCCCATAAAATGCTATCATTTTGTATTTTTCCTGTTAAAAATTTTAATACAGCTATAATCTAACATCTGCTACTTGGCTCTATAATCCTGTCTCAAAAAAACACAGAGCCCCTCAGTGCAACAAAACAAAGTTCATTTTGGAATTTGTTTTCTTTGTAAATGGAGGCCAGAATCACAGGCGCTTTGGAGTCTCCAAGCGGACTCAGTAAACGTACGGCACGATCCGGTAGGGCACGCGCTGGCAGTACTTCTCCCAGGCCAAGCCGTACTTCCTCCTGCAGCAGCGCTCGTCACGGGCCTCACGGTGCACAAGCAGGATGGTGAAGTAAATGACGTAGAAATAAGGCAGAACGTGATTAAAGCCTGTGGTGGAAACCGTACACAAGTCAGAGCCTGGGAGTATCTAACAACAAACCTAACGTTTCTACACTTTCTCCCACCGTGGGGAAAATAGCTCCCTAAACCCCTACAGCTGTGCTGCAAAGGAAAGCATCCAGAGGAGAGGCCCAGGGCCAGCCCGACACGCCTGCACTGTCAGGACCCTAGTCAACAAGGGAAACCCAGAGCTCTCCCAGCCTGCTGGCCGCCTAGACCCAGCACAACAGGGAACCAGAGAAGTCAAGCCTCCTGCTGTTCCTCAAAGGCTCCAAGCAGAATCTTAAATAACAAGCAGGTCACATTCTGCTTAGAGAAGGCTGCCAGGCGCAGGTAAGAGTTACTTTTTTTAGCAATCTAAAATAAAACTGCAGGCTCTGTAACTTCTGAGGCTCCCACCCTTACAGAGCAGCATCCCAAGGAGGGCGGGTGTCTGCCATGGCCAGCCACAACCACCGCAGGACGACAGACTCACGCCAAACCCCGGCTGCCCTGTACCAACACACACAACTCCTTCAGGGAACACTTACCACAAGGGAGAGACCACGCCAGGGCCATGATGAGATCGCCCAAGTAATTGGGGTGGCGAACAAAGCCCCACCAGCCAGAGACAAGAAGACTTTTCCCAGTTGCAGTGTGAATTGTTTTTAAATCTAATATAAAAACAAAACAAAACTTGTAATGACCTCTAAACAGAGACAAAATCATGAATATAAACATAAACCAATACTTACGTGCCAGCTTGGGATCAGCAGGGTTTTTCCGGAATGCATTTTTCTGAGAATTTGCACATCGGAAGATTACATACCCCGAAACTGTAATTTAAAAACATTTTTCTATGTTATTAGCAATTTAGATGTAATCTTGAAATCATAGTTTCTAAGAGATTGCTTGAAAAGGACACAAACAAGAGTATATTTTCCTAACAGCAACTTAAAATCTCTTAACCAGGTTCAGTGCAATAGCCTAGTGGCTAAATCCTCATCTTGCACACCAGGGATTCCATATGGGCGCCAGTTTATGTCCTGGCTATAACACATCCCATCCAGCGCCCTGCTTGTGGCCCAGGAAAGCAGTTGAGGATGGCCCAAAACCTTGGGACCCTGCACCTGTGGGGGAAGACCTGGAAGAGGCTCCAGGCTCCTGAACGATTAGGCTCCAGCCATTGCGGCCACTAAAAGAGTGAAGATCTTTGCCTTTTTTAATTGGAAAGGCAGATTTACAGTGATAAAAAGAAAAAAAATGCTTCACCCCAGAATAACACTTCTGAAGTCCCGACTGTCGCCAAAGCTCGCCAAACTCTGAGAAATAACAGCACAATTGTATTGGTGCGGCCAGGATTTGTTCGGATCCCAGCCGCAGCATGCACGTGTGGGTGAGGCCCTGTGGTGTCAGCATCAGAGCATCTAACTGCTGCCCCGATTTGTCACTAATCCTGTTAGTGACTGGCTCTGCCCCACACCACAAACTCATGCTCGTGAACCCCACGGGGGCACAGCCGATGCGGATAAACAGGGCTGAAGCTGAATTCATTTTACAAGCAGCTTCACTTTGCCCTCTCAGGTGCTGGCTACTGCAGCCAAACTAGGTACAGCGCTCCGTATTTTGGTTTCAATGTACATTTTCTCCACTCAGCCTCTGGTGGAGGTGTTTAACAGTGTAATATGAAAGGATTTAAAACCACAGACGGGCTGACGCTCGGGGACGTGACCCCCGGCCACATGGCTGCGGCCGGGGTCCCCAGGCGCAATCAAGCTCGTCTCCTGGGAAGCAACCAACAGTCTTCACGCTCCCTCGGAAGACTGTTTCGGGGCGGCCAGCAGGCGGAGCCTGGCGCCAACTGGCGCACTGGCCGCCCCGCCAGGGAGCCCTGAGAAATTGGTTCTCTGCTGCTCAAGACAGCTTCATGCTAAAACTCGGTGTTTTGGGGACACCAAGCAACCCTAAAGATTTCCAATGTCTGTAAATCTCCCTCAGACGAATCTGCTGCTATCATGGTTTCACTCCATAAGTTCCGAATGATTGTAACTCCCTATATAATGCCAATTCCTTACGATACACAGTAACTGAGTGGGAACACAGAGAAATCTCTCATTTCCCTTGAAATAGCTAGGAATCCACGTAGTGTAACCTGCAGGAACTGGATAAGTATCTTAAAGTTGATAGATCCAGATCAGCATTATACAATAGCAAAAGCTACAATGACACACAGGGGGAATTAGGAACGACCCAAACAGTCTATTAACTGGTGGCCATATGCACAGAAGAGAGGAGAACACCAGAGCGGAACAGAGGGACTGGAGGAGGCTTATCCCCCACCCACAAGGACTCCTGGACTCCTACCAAGGTCTAGCAGAACGGACACAAGAACGTCAACACAACTGCCAAAGAGAACACGGGGATCTGGAATGCCTCCGAATGCTGTGAACCCAGAGGATAGACATCCCCCCTCTTTGGACAAACTACACGAGATGGAAGAAGCCCAAGTCCTTCCACATAGGAACTAACGACATCAGAACAACAGCCAGGAACCACGATTGGCCATCAGAATCAGAAGATCAATAAACTTCCGGCGGGACAATGGGGGAGGAATCTTCTCCAGTCCTTACCT